GGTTGGCCATGTCCACCCTCACTCAGACTCCTCCCAAAACATGATGGGTGAGCATGCCTTGTCCTTAACTCCCTTCTGAGTGGTGGGCAGCAGCACGGTTGACATCTGACTTTTGAGAGCCACACTGCTGGTGACTCTTATCCCACAGCTGGCCTGGCTGCTTCCAGACCCTTTCCCTAGTTCTGTGTGTCCATCCTGAACCAAGGCTATGATTGACTTCAGTTGTGTCGGAGAAAGCCGCAGGAAATTCTGCTTTAGGGATTTTTTTTTTTTTTTTGTCAGGAGTCAGAGGCTCCGTTTGTCTTCTGCTACCAAAAATATATTCTGTTTCCTCTCAGTGCTGTGCTTAATCCAAGAAAGTAACTAAAATCACTGGGTAAACACATGTGCTATTTTTATTCCTACCTCCCATGTGTACACCCTCCTCTTCTTCCAAATGTGGCCTTCAAGTCCTGACTTACACATCCACATCCACCCAACTGTTGCAATGGAAAAATGGAAATGCCTCCCTCCATCAGAGGAATGCTTGCTTCCATAGCCCACCCCTGCCCTCCACCTTCCTGCCGCCCTGCCCACGCGGCCAGCTCTCCCACGACAAGGAACACGTGGAAAAAAGGGGCTTTGGTTTCTGTCCAAAGAAACCATTGACTATTTGGAGACAAATAACTCATGGAGCCCTCGAGTCTGACTTGTGTTTTAGCTGACGGTATTATTACCCCTGGATTTCCAGGGCAGCCCTTGCCCTTCAGAATTGCCTGTCACCTCCATAGGCTGTCCCCTTTGTCTTAAAGGCCCAGATGGCTTGCAAATGACTAACACATAGCAGATGCTCAGGGAATCGTTTTGCAGTGTTGAGTGGAGCTTGCGTCATGCTGGTATGTAAAAATACAATACCAGGAAATACAATACCATGGAAAATCAATAAAATGGGAAGTAATGGTATTATAAAAATATTCTTTGTTTTTACATCATCAGTAGTATTTTATATTGTCGTTTCTCCAAGCACAAGAGTCACTTTACAGAAGCGTGTATTTTATGTGTATTTTGGAGGGCAGCAACCGTGGTGAAAATCGAGGCGTTGCCGCTCATCGCTCAGCTCTGGCCTACCAAGGAGGGCTGCTCTCCTGCGGACAAGACGCACCTTTTCCTTCTTGACTTCATGATTGAGGTTCTCGGGTTCTGGCGTGGTGGCAGAGTGACCCAGGCTGCTCTTAGCTGAAGGGTCTCTTCACCTAAGGCGTGGCTTTCCCAACAGCAGAGCCTCTTGCCTTCCCGAGTTCCGGGTCACAGTCTGAGTGGACATCTGAGAAGGGTCTGGGCAGGTTCAGGTTAAAATGGCCCCAGAGGTTGAGGGGTAGGGAAGCCAATGTTGTTCTGAGGAAAGATCCCGATTCAGGCTTTGTGTAAGTCAGATCAGGCCACCAAAACCAAATACCATGGTCTAGATGGCTTAACAGACACTTATTTCTCACAGTTCTGGAGGCTAGAAGTCCCGGATCAAGATCCATCAGGGTCAGTTTCTGGGAGGCCTCCTCTCCTGGCTTGCAGACGGCCACCTCCTTGCTGTGTCCTCACATGGCTGTTCCTCTGTGTGTATGTGGAGAGAGCGAGTATGCTCTGGTGTCTGCCTCTGTGGACACCAGTTCTGTCAGATTAGGACCCCACTCTGGTGACCTCCTCAGAGCCATCTCTCCAAATACAGTCACATGAGGGCTCAGGGTTCAACACAGGGATTTGGGGGGACTCAATTAAGTCCCGGGCAGACTCTGAAAAGAATTGTTCCACACCAACCTGGTACTAACTTGGTCTTCCGAGGACCAAGGATTTGCACCTGTGGTTGCATATGACCATCACCTGGGGAGATTCTTGTAAAAAATACTAAGGCTGGGTCCCATGCCCAAGCATGCTAATTCAATTGAGGGTGGAGCCATGGAATGTGTATACGTAAAAAAAAAAAAAAAAAACAAAAAAAAAAAAAAAAAAACTCTTACAGGTGGATTCTAATAGGCATCCATTGAGAACCCCTGTACTAGATGGCTGCTCGGCCAACACCTGAACGTGCTCCTTGGGGCTCAGCAAAAACAAGACAGGATTTCATGAGGATAAACTGGGATGTGAGTGTGTACGGTGTTTGGGGAACACAAGTGCATTATGTATGTGTGTGTGGGTAGGATATCTTCACATATGTGCAAAATGTGCATTTGTGTGTACACAATGTATGACATAAATACATGCAAAAATCAAAAATAGTCTTGAGGTAATCTTTTTAAGAGGTAACTTTCTAGGTTTGAATGCTACCTTTTCTGTTACTATTTTAAAACCTTTAAAATATTGATATTTTGGACAAGTAGTATACAATTCCATTTACATGTGAGATCTAGAATAATCAAATTCATAGAGACAGAAAGTCAGAATAGTGTTCCTAGGGACTGGGGGAAGAGGTGTGGGGGTTAGTGTTTAGTGGGTGCAAAGTTTCCTTTGGAAGGGTGAAGTTCTGGAGATGGGTGGTGGTGACGGTTGCATGACAGTGTGACTGTACTTCATGCCACTGAATGGTTAAAATGGTTTTTCAAAGTTATATTGTAAGATAGCATATCTTTCTAAGTTTCCCACGCTCCCATGATGAGTATAGCCTTGTACAGAACCCTGGAAGCAAACACTTCCCTTCTTGTGTTAGATACTTGGGAGGTGATCTCTGCTTTCTGCGTATGGATTATCTACACCACCAACCAATACCTCCATGTCTCTACTCTTAATTTACTGCTCTGTAGAAGCCCCTGAGACTGTCTACATAGTTGCTCACAAGAGTCTCCACCTACATCCCCACCCTGAGATCCTCTTCATCTCACAACTATTTCTTAGCCATCCAGAAATTCTCGGGAGCTTTGTCATTCCCAGGACTCATTCACCACTAGGACTGCTCTGAGGGTGGTTGAACAGAACACCAGGGTTTGTGTATAGGGAAAAAGAAGGTATTGAGGGGGAGTTAAAAGGGGTCTTTGAGGAGACTGTAAGTGAACACAAAGGATGAGAGTTACACCTTTTCCTCTAGTTCAAGCTTTGTCAAATATGTGGCACTTAAATGACAATAGCTAAGTGGCCAAATTGAGTCAGCCACTTCATTTAATTACGGAGGAGCCACTATGAGCCAGGACTTGTGCTCACACAGTGGCATTGAGAGAGATTCTGAGAAGTCCCAGACTAGTTGGGGAGATCAAACAGGCACTAATGGTAGACCATGATGAGAGAGGCCACATGCAGAGTACAAATATCCACTCTTTTGGTTGCAAGGGAAAGAAATTTATTGTGTTGTAAGCAAAAACGGGTATTGGCTCATAGGATGCAAAAGTCTAGGACAAAGTTGCCTTCAGACACAGCTAGATCTATGTACTCAACATCTTCAAAATGTTCTCATCTCCTGACTTTATGTGGTTCTCGTCCTGGGGAAGGTTTAGCTCTTATGGCAACCAAAATGCTCAGCTTACTTCCTACTAGTTTAGCAAATTCCACATAAAGAGAGCTCTTTTCTAAGAGTTGCAATTAAAATTGTAGAAGTGAAACTCACTGAGATACAGTACCCAACTTGAGAGCTGAAGGGTTGGAGAAAAACAGGGAGTTGGTTCTACTCAAACTATAGAGACTGGATCAGGGCTTCCCAGTGGGAAATTCAACATTCTTACAAGAAAATGGAATGGACCCTGGCCAAGGAAACCATTTTCTTTGCTGAAGTGTGGAAGTTTAGAGGAGGCAGTGGCCTGTTCTCCTGTAGGAACTCAGAGGCTTTCCCAGAGGGACCAATATTTCAACTGGTCTTCTAAAACGGGAAGGCTCTGGTCATGGAAGGGTGAGAGGGTTGAGAGCGAGGACCCATTCATGGAAGAAACAGCATGAGCAATCCGAGTGCTAATCAATGGTCCTTGATGAAAAAGTTCTGTGTGATCAGCCCATTATCAGGAAACACCAGTTGGTCCAGAGAGGATACCATGCCGTTGAAGCAGGAGAGGACCCCCCCCCAAAATCTACCTCAGCTGACCTGCCTCAGGACTGCCTCAGTCTTTTAGTGAAGATATGTTTTCCAGAAAATGAGGGCAAGCAATAATGCAATTTTAAGTGACCTAAATGTCACATCACAGTCATTCCTTAAAAACACACAGGTAAGATACCTAAAGCTGATAAAGTTGTGCTATTCCTCAGCTTGGTGTATAATTTGTGAAGTAAATTTGCTTTTGGTGCTTTTGGATTTTTTGTTTGGTTTGTTAACATGAGGTGAGACAGGAGATAACCTTCCCTACTATGAGGGTTCCCATGAGCCCCGTGTGAAAAAAACAATAGTTTGAAGCCACAGTCTAATAGTATACCAGAAAGCAATCCTAAAGTCTTAAAAACGGAGTTTAGGTATTTTACATTTTTGCTTTTTTAAAAAAAATAACAGATGATTTAAAAAAAGATTACGAAAAACACAAGCTCATGGCCTGCTTCAGCCGCCGTTGTGTGAGAATCTTTTCACAGTTGAGTTCTTGTTCATGGTTAAAATTTCTGAGGGGTTGTGTAATGTTGAATGCTCTCAAGGCTCAACTCAGGAGCCAGATGACAGTGTTTCAGGCCTAGGAATGCTTTAAAATCTCCAAGGGTCTCTTATTTAAATTTTAAAAGTTCCTGAAGTGTACCTACCTGGAACACCTCAACCCACAATCACGTGAACAGTCAGTTTATATTTTTTTGTAGACTCCTACTCTTGGGCTTAATTCCACATGGGAGGCAATTTTGATAAACAGCGGATTAACCATTGTTAGTTAACTAGTTCTTCCTCTCAGCAAATGAAAAGAACCAGGAAGGTAGTCGTGCTTGTAGCTCTGACTCAGGTGAGTCAAAGGCAATATGTGTAACCTAAACATACGTAACTGTAATATTCTGAAACAACAAAAAAATTTTAAAGAAACATAATATAGAAACACAAGGGGGTGGGGGGAAGAACCATGAAGCAAAGCCAAAGGGATCAGTGAAACAAAAACAGCCACAACCAACATTTATTCTTGATTTTGGTCTCTATTCCTTTCATGCTCTCTTATTTTCCTCCACACATTAAATATATAATAACCCAAATTTTATTAATATACAAATAAAACATGCGTAGCATGTAAGCATGGCAGGCGGTGAGTAAGCCCGGTCAGCCGCTTGCTCCCCCTGAGGTCGATGAAGGTGGCGACTGCCTCCGAGCAGCTCCCGAGGGTCCGTGCTGTTCCCGGGCTGAAGAGCCTGGACCGCAGAGCAGCACGCGCCATGTTGGTTAAAGGTTAGTGACACAGAAGCGTTTGTGTCCATGCTGAAGGACAAGGTTGTTTTTTTTTTTTTTTCCCCTGAAACGCTACTTTGTTCTTTGACAAATGTCCTAAATTCGGTGACATAACCAAGGGAGACGTGGATGAAAGGACACAGGATTAGAATCGGGAAAAGCATAAATGGAATCTGGGAAGTTCTGTGGTAGACAGCTGCTATCCCTCCTTGACGAAGGGAAGAAGTGTACGGAATATTTAATCAGCCCATCTTTTCCCGAAAGGGAAAAAACACATATATTTTTGGGTTTAGATAAGTAGCTAAGGCTTTTTAGAGAGGAAAAATGTCATGGGAAAAATGAAAAAATGTCTCTAATGTCTATAGCACATGAACTATCTAGGAGGAGTAAAATATTAAAGGGCAAGGGGGAACATCTGTAAGAAGTTACAGTGCACGTGTTGGATGAAAAGTAATATTATAGGATTAGACAATTGTTATTAAAATAGCACTTGGTATATAAACTCAAACATTCCTTTTCAAATTCAGCTTCTCAGAGGTCTGACTTCAGATGCCTGAGCACTTGGAACATTATCTTTGTCTTTATTCTTCATGCGGATAAACACAACTGCTAAAATTATACCTAAAAGAGAAAGTTCAGAGTCAAATGGATGGAATCTTAAAATGTACTGTCGCATTCATTTATAAAATAGTATCCTGGCAGGAAAAAATGACTCACATAATTTCATTTTTGTTTGTGGTTTAACAAAGTTTCGTTGTCCTGGTGAAGAAGGGACTCTAGGCATTGGCTTTCTTAGATAAGTAAGCTTATTGCTTGTCCTGTGATCAGTGTGTATGTATCAAGCCCCAAATCATACGTGACCTGTGGTGCTCACTGGGTCTCTATCTAGGAATGTAGGACCTAATGTCCCACACTGAGTGTGTATCTGACAGTTCCTAAACTTTATATTAAATACATACTCTGTACACATTGATTCCAGTCTGTCTTCCCCTTCTTTAGAGGAAACAACCCAACCTGAACAACCAGAAAGCGGTTGTCAGACCTAAAGCTGACTTCCACTGTGTCCACACCAAATACAACATTTTCTTTGGTGCCTTCCTCACAGCTGCGGCCCGTGTTGTTGAGTGATCTTGTTTCTCCCATCTCTAAACTTCTACAAAATTATATTGTGCATCTCAGCACTAACTGTATTAATATATAGTCAGTCGGAACCACTATGTAAAAGGGATTTGTTTTACATAAACTAACCTGTAAGTTTACAGGATGGATCATGGCAGAAAAGACTGGGTGTTCAGAAACCCATTAATAATCCTGTAATCCCAATCCTACTTCAAAAGAGTAAATGTACAAAACTGCAAGATTCTATTACTGCTATATATCCCCAAACACATCCAGCCTCTAACTTGTGGTAAGATTCTGGGATTTAATCCTTACGTGAGAAAATTGCTATTTGGTTTATAGACTCAAATCCTTTCAAGGTGGGAGGGCAAATATAATAAAAAAAAAACCTAGGGTAGGGAAGGAGCTTGGTAAACAAGTGGGACCAGCTCAAAAATCCAGCTCAATTAGTGGTTCTCCAGGAGAAATTATGTTCACTGTGACAGCAGGTAGGTAGTGGCCAGGCCATAAGGAGTTTGGACTGCAGGGTATAAAGAAATGAGATCCCTTTTAGACCTGTGAATCAGAGTCTAATCTAACAGGTGTGTCATGGAAGAAAAGACCAGATGCAGGTGGAATAATACCAGTCCTCCTTTTAAAAGGATGTGAAACTGTGAACCCTTTCACTCAGGGGCACGTGAACTAATGAAGTATTTCTAATATTTACTTATGAGGACAAGAAGGTAATTACTATGCAACTTGAACATCCTTAATCTGAAAATTTGAAATCCGAAATGCTCCCAAATCCAAAACTACTTTAGTGCTGATATGACAGCACAAGCGGAAAATTCTACACCTGACCTCATGTGACAGGTCAGTTAAAATGCAGTCAAAACTATTTCATGCACAAATTATTTAAAATATTGTATAAAATTACCTTCAGGCTATATAAATATAGTATTTGTGAAACAGGTGAATTTTCTGTTGGCTCCTATCCCCAAGATAATCTCATCATGGGTAATAATCTAAACTCTGAAAAAAATCTAACACATTTCTGGTCCTGAGCATTTTGGATAAGGGATATGCAACCTGCTGTAGGCACTGAGTTGTTTGCAGAAAAACACAGTGAGATCACAGGAATCTGCTGTCTGGCCAGGGGCCAAGGTAGAACCAGAGCCGTGATACAATGGGGTTATTCTGGATAATAAGAATCAGCGTCCCCAGTTGTACAGTGCAGAACTTTTGTATATTTTCACATTTCAGGTATAGCAGGATCTTCACTGGAAGGCTAAGGACAATGGCAGACAAGACCATAAACTCCGATACAGGATTTGTGCACGTCTTGCCCATTACCATCAAGCACAGTGCCTGCCACGTAGCAGAGGCACAGCTACTGCATTTTTCTCCATCATGAAAGGTTGGTATGCAGGGATAAAACATAACAATTTATGCTCTAAAGCCTCTTATATTTCCCAAACTAACCAATGTGTCGATGATAGGCAGAGGATGGTACTGAAGCAGGAAAGCCTCGTGTAGTGTACTGGTGATCTATATTCTTGGCTAGTGCCTTGCTTGCCCTTGGAGAAGCCACCAGCCCAGCCAATGAAGGCAGTCCCAGGATGGGAATCTTTGACTGGAGAAATTATACTCACCAATGACCAGGAGGGTGGTCAGCAGTATACCAACTGCCATGCCCACAGTGGGTATCCCAGGCTGGCGATCCACTGGCCGGAAACACCTGCCCTCCACACATGTGCAGAAAGTAACTGAAAAGTAGCACAGTATTTGGTAGGATACATTTTCAAGTGAATAGTCACAGAATCTCATGCCCAAGACTAGAATTCCCTCAAATTGCCCATGGTGACAGACTATCTTAAGTTGCTTATAGCAAAATACCCACCTGGTAAAGAGACGGTGCCTTCCAAAGGTGGCCGGCCCCCATCATTGATGCGGATCGGGACATCGTAAACGCGCTCCTCAAAGCTCGTGTGCTTGGTGGAGAGTCTGGCATGAGTGCCTGTCGGAGCAGGAAAACATAACTTCAGATCCTTGGATCAGCAGGAATGGATAAAGCGTATCCTTGTATCACATTAAGATTGGCTGGGAAAGTGACTAGATACGAGTTAAACTAAGAGTATCACTCCACATGTATCTTATCGAGTAAAAGAAGAGCTAAAGGATCTTTTAAATTCTTAATTCATGATTTCTCTGTAGAAATGAATATAAACTGCAGTCAATTCTCATCATTTCCAGTAGTTGTGGTCTATAAAGTTGTCCCAAACACTGAATTAGTAAATACTGAACCACTGTTCCTACGTAAAATATAGGATTAGGTCCTGTAAGCCTCTGGTCACAACATTTTCATCAACTGATTGATATATAATGTTTTCTGTGTTTCTGTCTAAAGATACCTTATTTAATATATAGTGGACTAATTAACATTTAACTCATGATTAACAGTGATAGAACGTCTGCCTGAACAAAGTTTACCTAACATGTATTTTCTCTGTAAGGCTGCAGTCCCCAACCCCTGGGTGGTGGACTGGAACCAGGTCACGCACAGCAGGAGGTGAGCGAGTGAACAAAGCTCCACCTGTATTTACAGCCACTCCCCATCACTCACGTCACCATCTGAGCTCCGGGTCCTGTCAGATCAGCGGTGGCATTAGATTCTGCATTATGATGAGTTGTATAATTATTTCATCATATATTTCAATGTAATAATAATAAAGTACACAATAAATGTACTTGAATCATCCTGAAACCATACCATGCACCTCTCCCCAGGTCCATGGAAAAACTGTCTTCCATGAAACTTGTCCCTGGTGCCAAAAAGGTTGGGGACCACCAACCTGATGTGCTATAAGGCATGTCATACCTGCTTCACACTTAGGAACACTCAATAGCATTTGAGCACTATGGTTCGGAACCATTTTAAATAGTGAAATTCCAAAATGAAAAGCACACAATGTGTGGGAGAAAATAAAGAACGCTATGTAGATTGCATAACGAACATGTTAACGGTATAAAACCTGAATCTAGAAGGTTTTCACCCTCAGCTAAGAACAAGTATGTCCACTAACTCAAATTTTTGACCACTCCGCCATTGTCCACAAATGCACAAGTTCCATCATTAAATAGTTGAACCTGTAAATAGGAAATCAGCAAATAATGAGGATTGATTACGTAGTGACTAGAGTGTGCCTGGGACAGAGCATCTGCTGCTTGTTAGCTATGTGACATTGGCAAGTGATAGCATCTATAGGCCTCTGAATCCTGAAATAAGGGGATGATGCATCATATTCTACCTGATCTTCAGGTATTTACCTTCTTCCCTTTTTATTTAAATGGAGAATTAAGAGTACAAAATAACACTAAGCTTCAAATTACTAAAGTCAGTTTCAGTCTTGTTGCGACTCATTCATATACCCTCCCCATTCATATATCTGCCAAGAAATTTTCCAGAATTTGGGGAGATTTTCGTATTTAAAGATTATGGTGGCCCTGGAGTAACAGGGACCAGAATCACCATCCCTCCAAAAACAACTCAAAGAACATATAAAATACACGAAACCATGGTTTTAAAGACATTGGTTAATGAAGGATAGTGATTCCTGAAAGGGGAAAAAAAAAAAATTGCCCCAACACACTACCCAGAGCAATCGTCCAGGTCTCAGTGTAGGAAGGGAGAGCTCAGCAATGTCCCTGGGTTGAGGCGACAGAGCCAAAAGTATGGGGAAATAAAGGCCATTAGAGTTTTCAGAGTCTCAGAGACAGTGTGTGTGCCGCATACAGAGTGCAAGAGGTATAGAGAGAACGGAGTTCATAAAGGGCCAGGAATTGTTCCTGCTCTCAAGAGCCAGGGTGGAAAATCTCACAGGGCATCAGGTGGGGTACACAGAGGGTTTTGCCTCAGATGTTTGGACAAATGAGCCCTAGAATGCTGCCCTAGCCCTGCCTAACAAAACCTAAAAGCAACATGTGAAAGTATCAAACTATTTCCAAATACCTGCATTTCAAAATAAAGCTCAAGAATATATATGAGAATACAAAAAAAAAAAAAAATCATCTAGATGTCTGGCATTTCATAAAAAAACTGCTAGATATGAAATAAAAGACAAAAATATGACCGATAATGAGAAAAATCAATCAGGAGTCACTGGGGCAGCTATAGCCTTATGAAATATATTTCTTAAATAATGAAATTTGAAATTACTCCTTGATCCATGGGCTATAGAATGGATATTGTGTTAGCAGCATGGAAACAATATTAATCTCCTTGTACATTTCCATCAGGGCTCTTGGGTGACCAGGTGCATTGTCAATGAACAGTAATATTTTCAAAGGAACCTTTTTCTCTAAGCAGTAGGTCTCAACAGTAGGCTTAAAATATTCACTTACACATTCTATAAACAGAGGAGCTGTCATCCCAGGCTTTGTTGTCCCATTTATAGAGCACAGGCAGAGTAGATTTAGCATCATTTGTAAGGGCCCTGGGGTTTTTGGATGGTGGCTTCAACTTAGTCACAAGCTGCATTAGCCCCTGACAGAGTCAGCCTGTCCCTTAAAGTCTTTGGAGCTAGGCCTTCACATTTCCTCTCTAGCTATGGAAGTCAAAGATGACATCATCTTCCAATATAAGGCTGTTTCATTTACAATGGAAAATTGTTCAGTGCAGCCACCTTCATCAAAGATCTTAGCTAGATCTTCTGGATAACTTACTGCAGCTTCTACATTAGCACTTGCTGCCTCACCTTGTACTTGTATGTTACGGAAACAACTTTCTTTTTAAACCTCATGAACCAGTCTTTGCCAGCTTCACATTTTTCTTTTGAAGTTTCCTAACCTCTCTGACTTCATAGAATTGAAGAGAGTTACAGCCTTGCTCTGGATTTAGGTGTGGTTTAGGGGAATATTGTGGTTGGTTTGATCTTCTATCCAGACCACTCAAACTTTCTTATTCTTCTGTTCACTGGAGAAGAATTTCCTTTAAGAACTTTGCCTTTACATTCACAACTTGACTGATGCAATGCTAACTTTCAGCCTGTTTTGGCTTTATCATGTCTAGCTTTTGACTTAAAGTGAGAGATGTATGATTCTTCTTTGAATACTCAGAAGCCATTGTAGGCTTATTAATTACCCCAATTTTAATATCATGCCTCAGGGTACAGGGAGGCCCCAGGAGAGGGGGTGGAGGCCTGGTCAGAGCATACCCAACATTCAATATGAAGTTTGCCATCTCATATGGACGAACATGGCTAGGCTAGAAGCTGGGTGCAGGGGCTTGCAGAGTGGGTTCCAATGGTAAAGTCTAACTAAAGGGTGTTGATAACCACAGACAAGAACCAGCTTCAATTGGCTTGTCAGCTCTCTGCCACCTTACATGAACTTTGTGTGATTACAATATCACATCATGGTTTTAAAGTTTCTCTACCCTTGAAATCACCATGACAGTGCTAAAACCACCATATAAAGTACAAAATTGGGAAGGAATCCAGTGACAGCAATTACCACCATAATTCCTGGTAAAAGCTAACCCATTAGCCTGGAATAATTTTCCTCTCAATTAGCAAGACTTCAAAAAACCAAAAACCACATCCTCCCAGTACAGTGCCTCTTTTCGAGCCTGCCCCTGTCTCTTAAGAGAGCACACTTTTGCTTTCAATCTTCCAAAAAAGCTGCTTGCTTGCCTTACGTGGTGTGTGCTGAAATTCTTTTCCCGCTGATCACCAAGAGCCTCCACTCAGGACCGTGACAATTATGCTAAGTGAAAGCCAGACCCAAAATGCATGTACATATTCTATTTAGATAAAATTATGGAAAAGGAAAACTAATCAATAGTGACAGAAAACAGGTCAGTGGTTGCCTGAGGAGAGGGGACAGGCAGGGAGGGAAGTAGAGATGACAGCAGTACGTGAAAAAGCTTTTGGGGGTGGTAGAAACATCCATTACCTTGATTGTGCTGATGGTTTCAGTGATGTTTACATATATCATCTCAAAGTCATACACTTTGAATAATATAATTGATATACAATAAGTTGTATATTTCAAGAAATTTTTTAAAAAATTATAGAATCTGTTGTTTCTCAGTTATCATTGGAAATTTTGCAAATGATGCTCTGACTATCCACCTACACCAAGGGAGATGCTGTGTGGTTTTTTTATCCCTTCCACACCTGGGCACTGCCCCCCTCTGCAGACCTCAAAGTATGAACTTCCTTCCTGGAGCGTGGAAGAAGCTCGGGGGTGGGGGTACTGCAAACCCACCAAAAGTAAAATAAAAACTTAATTTCATCATCCATCGTTATTTTCCTCCATGTGCTTCTGACAACTCACCATTGATTTTGGAAACTTCCCAGTGCTTCCGTAAGCTTTCGCTGGCGAGGGAAAATGTAAATTGGGGACCCCGAAATGACTGCCAATCGTCATCAGTGGCTTCGAAAATGAGACTTCCAGGTGCACTGAGCGGGTGGCACAAGAACAAGCCCGTGTACTCCTTGGCTAGCCGTGGGGGGTTGTCGTTCACATCCATAAGCGTCAGGTGGAAATCTGACACTGCGCTCAAGGAGGACCCGCCTAAGAAATTGAATGATTGAAACATGGTATCAGCTCACTCATTTTCCTCTTAACAAGGACATTCTCCTTTCTTAAAGAAAAAAATAAAATTCAAGCAGTTAGATAGACTGAGATATTAGACAAACTTAGAATCAGAGACCTAGTTTCATTAAAAACTAGTTAAAAAATCTTAAGGTCTATGTGCTAAAATTTCACATACATCACTTCAATACTGATGTACATCTACGATGAGAAAACTGAGCTCAGAGAAGCTGTGACTTGCCCAGGGCCACACAGCCAGGGAGCAGGGGCAAGGTGTTCAATACAAGGTCTCACTCTAGCTCTCACAACCTCACCTGTCCCTTACCACGCCTTGCTTCAGCCCTGTCAAGTTTTCTAAGCCTCATTTCTTCAGGTGTAAGACATGCATGGGCATGGTTCTGTGAGGATCACATGTGTAAGTGAATGTTCTAGAAAATACTAAAGGGCTGCACCAGTGTTATTTACTATGCTATAGTGGTATAAAACATGGGCTCAGGCGGGGCACAGTGGCTCACGCCTGTAATGCTAGCACTCTGGGAGGCCGAGGTGGGCGGATTGCTCAAGGTCAAGAGTTCTAAACCAGCCTGAGCAAGAGCAGGACCCCATCTCTACTATAAAAATAGAAAGAAATTAATTGGCCAACTAATATATATAGAAAAAATTAGCCATGCATGGTGACACATGCCTGTAGTCCCAGCTACTCGGGAGGCTGAGGCAGCAGGATTGCTTGAGCCCAAGAGTTTGAGGTTGCTGTGAGCTAGGCTGACACCACGGCACTCATTCTAGCCTGGGCAACAAAGCAAGACTCTGTCTCAAAAATAAATAAAACATGGGCTCTGTAGCATGACTGGCTGGTAGCTGCATAGTCTTGGGCAAGTGACTTAATTCCTCAGTGCCCTTGTTTCCTCATCCATAAAATATGGTCAATGATAGTGGAGAAACTTCTCATGCAAGGCTATGAGGTGTAGGTACTAAGTGCTTAGTGTGGGGCTGTCAGTGCAACTCAAACACTCACTGCTGTCAGCTTTCTCCCTGGCCGCAATCACAGATATCATTTCTACAATTTCTGACTCTGACCTGATTCCTATAAAATGTGTTTTCTTGCTCTTCTTCTCAACTGGTGCTTATGCCCAGGACTACACTTAACCAAAGAAGAAAAAGCCACTGTGTTCTTAAAGTCATTTTATCTATATCATTTCAGTGACAAACTCTAAAAATGGAACAGGGCTTTGGACCCTGGTTTTGCTCCTTGAAACTTCTAAAATGTGAGAAATTTTTAGGACATGTGCAAAGTGAAGTACTGATGATAGGATGCAGGGGAGTGTATGACAAATGTTCAGCCAGAAACTTCCTGCCAATTATCTGGGAGCATTTATTTAATAAATCAAGAGCTAAACATATACAATGTGATAACAGAATGGGCTTAACTTGAAGCAAGAGACAGACACAGGACCCGTCCACTCACACCCACTGTTTCCAAGTTGGCATCCACTCCTGCAATTCTACCACTTTGCTTGAACTTGAAGTACTTTTGTTTTCCTTAATATTTTCATATGCAGGGACTATTTTTATGATTCCCTTCTTTGTTCTCATTTCAGCTCCCAACCCCAGCTTTGCATTTTGAAAGGTTTTTTTTGTCTAAAACTATATTTATTTAGTAATAATTTATTTACTAGCCAATTACAGCCTCTGATCAGCATAAGATCAACAGAATTCCCACTGTACATTTTTAAATTCCATTTAAATGCAAAGAAACTCAATGATTTCATTACCAGCCTTATCACTGGGTAAAAATAATATTCCTATAAGTTAATTTTTATTTTAAAAATTCTCCGGAATTCCAAGCCAGCAGGCGATAGACATTACTACAACTGAACTAAATGAGATGCAAAGATTATATAGAGATGGTTCAAACCTCCTGGGCTTATCTGTACAATATAGTCTTCCCTTTTGAAAGTTTACCCTATTTCATCAAAACACAGATACCCAGGTTTACCCAAATTTACTGAATCAGAATCCCCAGGGGTAGACTCCTAGTGTCTATACCCCAGGTGACTGACACACATCAAGATGGAGAACAAGCTCCCCAGGTGACTGACACACATCAAGATGGAGAACACCCCATAGAACACACTCTGCTTCAACACGGAGGAAGCCTGACAAGCTGCAATTTTAGGTTGAAGGAGCGAGTAGTGGTCTCGGTCAACAAGGCAGAGGTTTGACCATGCTCCCAGCTCCCACGAGAAACCCACAACTACTTTGGAAGAAGGGAAGTAGTTCAGCCAGGGACACAGAAACCTAGAAGAGGCTGTAGCCCTTAGAAGAAATCACAGAGTGAGCAGCCTACTGAAGCCTGGCCAGCCTCCGGGTCCAACCCCGCTCGGAAGGAGCCCTGCTCAGCACACAGGCGGTCCTCATGTTTAACAAAACCAGGCAGGTGAGAGCACTCCCCTACACTCTGGTCTTTTGTGCCTTTCTCATCTTTCCACTTTAAGGTGATTATATCCTGGTGCTTTGACCCTGTCAAGTTTGTCCTATTTCTATTGATATATACCCTGATAATCTATTTTTTCTTATTTTTTTTTCTTTTGCTTACCTACTTCAGTGGCCACCACTTTTACCCGATACACACTTTCAGCTTCCCTGTCTAGTGGAGCCGCGCTGAAGATCTCGCCAGTGACAGGGTCAATTTTAAGCCAGCCTCTCGTGTCACCTCTCAGTGAATACCTTCATAAAGTGAAAAGAGCAAAAGAAAGCCCACGTTACTTTGCATGAAGAGGGTTTATGCATCCCTATACTGTTATATCGGCATCATTTGTATATTATTTACAACATATTTAAAGGATCATTGTCTCGCATTAATACTTCATTTGCACGTTTTCTGTCTTCAGAAGGAGGACTCATTCATTCTTACAACTGGCAGTGTTTGTGCTTCTGAGGAAAAATGTTACATTTTTCTGGAAATCAAAAAATTCCAATTAAAGCATCTGGAAGTATCTTTTAAAAACTCTTAGCAAACTACCACTCTAAGAAAACTCAAACACCCAGTGGTGGAGACACTGGGTGAAATGGGTTAACGCTCAGAGGCTGCTGGTGAGATGGTGAATCCCTCATCAGCAAACATCTCTCCAGCGCTGGGCAGTACCAGGAGGAGGTCACACAAAGGGGCCCCCACGTCAGTGGAGGAGAGGGGTACAGGAACAAACGATTCCAGTAAAATATGATAAATACAATGAAAGGGGACCTGCGGAATCTAGGAGAAGTTTATGGGAACCGGAGAGGTCTTTCTGAAGGGGTAGAAGCTAAAGGCAAGAAGAGGAGGCTTCAACAGAAGAGAGGGTATGAACTAAGCACCCAGGGCCAAGGAATGTGGGGTCAGGTGTCTCAGCGGTGCTGGGATATAACTGAGAAGCCATGGCAGCAGAAGATGAAGCCACAGAGCTTTAAAGAGCCAGATCATGGGAAACCCTGAGCAGCCATCAAATGGTGTTAAGCGGAAAAGTGACCCAGTCATATCTGTGTTTTCAGTGGAAGCCGTTGGTAGGTGCATGAGAGATGAATTTGAGAGAAACAAGCCTAGAACCCCAGGAACACTAATGGGCACAGCCCTTTGGAAAGTAGCACATCATAGTCACAGGGATGCTCACATCTTTAGACCAAATAATTCCACTTCTAGAAATTTTACCTAAATAAAAAAAAATAGAAGTTTAAAAAGGATTATATGCCTATATTCAAATCATTTTCTCTAATAAAAAACCTACATATTAAAGAATTAAAAAATGACATAAAAATTATATGTGAGTTACTTTCTCACAATGTTTTTGTTTTGTTATATTCTATATGCCGAGCACTGTGTTAGACTATGTGTATAGGTAACAAATTAGAAATCCTATATACCTGGGATTTCATCCTGAAAGAGATGAGAAGCCTTTGGAGGGCTCTGAAAGAGGAGTCAATCTGATTTACTTTGCTAAAGAATCACTCTGCAGTGAATAGACTCAGGGTCAGGTAGGGGCAAGGATGAATCCAGAAGAGAAATGGTATCTGGGACTACATTGGAAGTAATGTGAAGCATTTAGATTTTGGGTGTATTTCAATGAAAGACTCTATAATAATTGCTGATGGATTGGATTAGGATCCATTGGGTGCGAATGGATTGTAAGGTTGTGGAGCTAGAGAATGAAATTGCTCAGGTCAAAAGTTTGGAGTCATCCTTAATTCGTAACTGACTTATTGCCAGCACCTGAACTATTAATGCCTCCTCATTCCTGAGACACTTTCTTGCTTGTTTTCCCAAACTATACTCGCAGGATACCTCAATCTCCCTTGCTAACTTGATCTTCTTGACCTCTACTTGATAGTACATATGTATTATCTTTTCCTTGTTTCATCAGAGAAATCCTCTTAAATGCCTTTGTTGTTCCCACTTATAAACTAAAATTTTTATTCACTTTTCTTTGACCAATAATTTTTATAGCATTTTCATTAAGAAGGTAGAAGCATTTGTTAAATAAATGGCTGTAAACGTTTAAACATTTTGAGTCTCTTTATAATTTGTGACTCTTGAGTTATCTATATTAACCCATAGAGTACAAACCCTACTGTTCTTTGTGAAACTAGAGAAGTAGTTAGAAAGTAAAACAGTAGATGGTAACTTTACTCCTTGACAAACAGAAAAGATTTTAGAACTGATTCCAAGTGACTAAACAACAGCTCAATGGGGGGGCACCACTCCCCTCAAATGTTTAGAGAGACTTAAAGAATTGTCACAACTACGTGCATTGGTTTGAGTCATGTTGAAATATTTCTTATGCCATAGACAATGGGCATGTTGTGTGTTGTACAATAGAAGCAAAAGATCTGAGTTCAAATCCTATCTATGTGCTTATCAGCTATATAATCTTAGAGTTTATAGCTATTATACAGATATATACACATACATATACATCTTGAGCAAATTAATCATCATTGTGCATTTATAAGACAAATCTTTTTGGGTCCTATTGCACTGAAAAAAAAGATTGTATAAATATTTCCATTTTAGCAATTCTCATTTTTGTTTAGCCACCTCAGCCTGAGCACTAGCCTCTCCTTGGGTATAGTCTGGACTGATTCTTGCAACCCCAAACCAGCTCTCTGGAGAGCTGAGGAACCTATGCTCCCAACATCCAAAAGATTCCCTTGACCCTATAAGGTAGGCTTGTCTGTCCAGTTGGGGTTTGGTTTCATTCTCTCCCACTAGAACTTCAGTCCATGTGAGGGGCTGGAACTCTTCCCCAAGCCGCAGCCCGCAGAACTGGTTAACTGGTTCAGACACAGGGCCTGCGGAGGCTTGCCAGGCTCTGGGAGGTGAATGCCACCTCTGGAACTCAGCAGCTCTCTCGAATGAGACCTGGAGCAAGCGGGCTGGATGGAGCCTGACGCTGCTTCCCACTTCTCCGAGCCTGGATTCACATCAATGATCCACCATCCCTTGGAATGCCCCACAGGGTACTGACACCTGCCTCAGCCAAGGCCAAGTTCCCCACTGCTGGCTGCTCCATTGGGGCACAGCCCAGGGTCAGTGCAGGCCAGTTTCTCCAGCCCTCCCAGCTCCCACTCCTTCCCACTAGCCTCGGGTGCAGCACAGAGCCAGGCCTGTCCAGCACTGTGCTCCTTACCTGATGTCTAGGCCTTCCGGATCCTTGGCAGTCACATTGCCCAGTTTTGTGCCTGTGGCCACATCCTCACTCACTCTTGCTTGGAATGTATATTGGGAAAACAGAGGTGCTTCATTCACATCTGTTACGATAAGCGTGAACTTGGCAAAAGAGCTCTCATTGTATGTTACACCAGGAACCAGAGGCTCAGGATTTTCTGCTTTGAAAACAATGTTGGAAACAGCTGCTGTTTCAAAGTCAAGAGGCTGTGTGGGGGGAAAAGGAGAAAATTAATTTTGGGATGATACGCTCCCTTAAAGGATACATCCCACATGCTTCTTAAACTCTGATATGTTCAGTAACATTGGGAAAACTGGATAGCCACATAAGGAGAATGAAATTAGACACTTATATCTCACATCATATATGAAAATCAACTCGGATGAAAGACTTAAACATAAGATCTGAAACTGTAGCACTACTAGAAGAAAACATAGGGGGAAATCTCCATGACATTGGTCTCAGTGATGATCTTTTGGATATGACCCCAAAGGCACAGCCGACAAAAGCAAAAAGAGACAAACTAAGAAGCTTCTGCAAAGCAAAGGAAACAATAGAGAGACAACTTACAGATTGAGAGAAAATATTTGCGAAGCACACATCCGATACAATATGTAATGAATGCAAACAACTCAATAGCAAGAAAACCACCTGATTAAAAAATAAGCAAAGGACTAGAATAGACATTTCTCAAAAGAAGACATCCACATAGTCAACAGGTATATGAAAAATGCTCATCATCACAAATCATCAGGAAAATGCAAATTAAAACCACAAGAAGATAACATCTCACACCTTTTAGAATGGCTATTATCCAAAAGATGAAAAACAACATGTAGTGGTAAGGATGTGGAGAAGAGGGAACCCTTGTACACTGAGGGTGGGAATGCAAATTAGTATAGCCATTTTGGCAAACAGAGGAGGTGCCTCAAAAAATTAAGCCGCTACCATATTGTCTAGTATTCCCACTACTGGATATACATAAAAAAGGAAATGAAATCTTTGATGGATGTTGAAGAGATACCTGCACTCCCATGTTCACTGCAGCATTATTCACAATAGCCAAGATATGGAAACAACCTAAGTGTCCAACAACAGATAAATGGATACATAAAATGTAGTGTGTGTATATACAATGGAATACTATTCCGCTTGAAAAAAAAAAAAAGGAAATCCTGTCATTTGCTGCAACATTGATGAACCCAGAGAACAGTATGTTAAGCAAAACAACAAATACCATGTGATCTCACTTATAGGTGGAATCTAAAATAGTTGAACTCACAGTGGCAGAGAGTAGAATGGTGGTTACAGGGTGGGGAAGAGAGGACTAGGGAGATATTGGTCAATGCATACAAATTTTCAGAAAGAAAGAGTTTAAGAGATCTATTATACAACATGGTGACTACAGTTAATAATATATACTTGAAAATTACTGACAGTAGATTTTTCTACTCTCACCACAAAAACAAGTATAAATATATGAGGTAATGTGTATGTTAATTAGCTGTATTTAGCCATTCCACAATGTATACATATTTCAAAACATGCTATTCACCAAAAATATACATAATTTGTGTCAATTACAAGGGTTTCATACAGAACGGTTCTCAGTCCAGTGTCAGCAAACACTTTCTTCTCAGAGTGATGACAGAGCCATGAAAAAGTCTTTACTGCAGGACTTATCAGAGCTTATGACATGCGAATGGGCACCGTGACTCTCCTAGAAAAGGCAATGGAATGTAGCACGCCTCAAACCTAACCATGGGACACTTAATTCAGCACACATGTGATTTTTTTCAAGAAAGATAGTTCTCAGAAATCAGCTTGGGAAATGCTTACACAGAGATTTCCATTCTGTGTGGAAAATGAGTTCCCAGGGGCCTCAGGACCCAAACCTCAAAATCAAAGACTTTAAATTCATGGAGGGTGGGAGGGGTGAGCAGAGATGATGGATGATCTGCTCTTGTTCCAGGCCAGGCCAGATGGAACCAGGAATGAGCATCAGAAAACCAATTTGGGTTTAGTAAGAGGAAGAATTTAACAGTTAGAGCTACCCATGATGGAAACAGTTGCTTCAAAAACCAGTAAGTTCCCAACTCTGGAAGTTTTCAAGCATAGGCTTAAATAACATGTGATTAGCCAGCGTAAAAAGGACTTAAATATCATAAGTAAGTGATTCTACATGATTTTAAAGGTCTCTCTCAAGGCAAAGAATCCATATTTCTATGGGAGAAAAGTTCTAATCCTAAAGAACCCAATGAAGAGTAGAACAGCCTCTAACCTAGGGCTTCTCAACTAAGGGCTTTGGGGGTCTCTGAACCCCTGGGAACTATGTGCATATGTTTTTGTTTCATAAGAGGAGGGTAAGTAGCTTTTATGAGATTCTTAAAGGGACCAACAACCCCAAAATAATAAGGAACCAAAGCCCAAAGGTGTATTACAGACTATGAACACTATACTGTTTTATTCACTTTCCAGGCCTGGAGGACCCAGGACCTCCTGGGGAGCTGTCCTTTAATTTATATCCGTTTCTCACCCATTAAACAGAAGTAGCAATAGCCCATTCATAAAGAGAAAAACTGAGGCATGATTGCACTGGCTCAGCCTGCCCTTGCCTGACATCTGAAACAATTCTCCCCCTCCACGAGGCTCAGTGCTGCCCTCTCCATACCGGCTTCCCTGATCCAACATGCTTCCTGGGCCACCCAAGACAAACCCTAAAAACTGCCCTTTCCTGTATCCTTCCTTTCTATGGTTCTTTCTCTCCACGTGGACAGCCACAGGCAGAAGGGAAAGCTGTAACGGTACCTTTTCCCAATGTGAGACTCTCCCAGGAGGTTAATGCCTTGAGCTGGTCCCAGCAAGACCCCTCGCCAGAGCTGGAACACGTGGTGACCATGGGACCGGAACTGCAAGACTCTGTCCCAGGGCTTGCTTCAGCACCAGCACTTTTTTGTCTGCTTCTGTCCATTTTCTGTGAAATTATTCTATTTCGTTTTCATCTGTAGCCTCTACTTTCAAGCTTTCCTTTACTCTGGCTCCAAACTGTCCTGCAGAGGCTTCTTCTGCAGCCCCCAGTACCCGGCCTGAGATGGTGGCCGGGCTCGCAGATTCCCTCCTGCTGCTACGCTGACCCTCCGACCCCGAGGCTTCACTCCCTCTCCCAGGAAAGTATCTTAATTTTAAGTACCTTGGATGACAGTGAGGACTGCTTCCAACTGAGTCATCTGGGATGGGGCGGCCACGGAGAAAAGAGCCAAGGTTTAGGTGTACACAGCAGGGGACAGGAGCGATTGAGGAAGGGTTGGGAGGAATCTTGTACAAAGAAATAAGAACTAATATAATGAAGACTCTGGCTCCAGATTACCCAGTCCTTACAGAGGGAGAGAGAGTGAGAGCCTGAAAGATGAGAGCAAAGCAGGGTGGAGGGAGAATGAAAAGATAAGCTTGTCTATGCAAGCTTGAAAGGAAACCCGTCTATATTTCCAGTCACTATTCAAGAAGTGTCTCCATCTGGCACACTTGAACGAAGGGGTTACAGCCTGAAGGTCCCATGAGCATGTCCAGCCCAACTCCACACATTTACAAAGGGGGAAGTGAAGCCCCAGGTGTGTTCCCCCCAACAATGCTGCCAGATTTAGCTGATATGAATATAGAATACCTACCGTGTTTCCCTGCAAATAAGACCTACCCATAAAGTAACCCCTAGCAGGATTTCTAAGCATTTGCGCAATATAAGCCCTAGCCCGAGAATAAGACCTAGTGATGGGCGTGGCTGCGTAGCATATCTGCACAACCCGTGCATTTCCTCACAGAGCAGTAAAGACAAGCAGCCCTTCTCATCTGCCCCATCGTGACAGCTACTGTCCCAGAGGTGACTGCAAAGGTGTGGGCAGCCCCGCCAACAAGGTTGGCTCCCCCTGTCAGATCCTGGCCATCCTGTGCGTGCTGCAAGCTGAGGCTTTGAGGGGAAAATAACACATCCCCTGAAAATAAGCCCTAGGGTGTCTTCTTGAGGAAAAATAAATATAAGACCCTGTCTTGGCCGGGCATGGTGGCTCACGCCTGTAATCCTAGCACTCTGGGAGGCCAAGGCTGGCGGATTGCTCTAGGTTGGAAGTTCAAAACCAATCTGAGCGAGACCCCGTCTCTACTAAAAATAGAAAGAAATTAATTGACCAACTAAAAAAAAAAATATATATATATATATAAATATAAAATTAGCCGCGCATGGTGGCATATGCCTGTAGTCGGGAGGCTACTCGGGAGGCTACTCGGGAGGCTGAGGCAGGAAGATTGCTTGAGCCCAGGAGTTTGAGGTTGCTGTAAGTTAGGCTGATACCACAGCACTCACTCTAGCCTGGGCAACAAAGTGAGACTCTGTCTCAAAAAAAAAAGGCCCTGTCTTATTTTGGGGGAAACACGGTAGTTAAATTTGAATTTCAGATAAATAATTTTTTAGTATAAGTATGTCCCAAATATTGCATGGAACATACATTGTGCTTCCTGTATTTTTCTCTTTTCTCTTTTATTTTTTCTCTTGAGACAGAGTCATGCTCTATCACCCAGGCTAGACTGCAGTGGCATCATCATAGCTCACTGCAACCTCAAACTCCTGGGCTCAAGCCATCTTCCTGCCTCAGCCTCCCAAGTAGCTGGGACTACAAGTGCACAGCACTATGCCTGGCTAATTTTTGTATTTTGAGTAGAGAAAAGGTCTCACTCTTGCTCAGGTTGGTCTTGAACTCCTGGCCTCCTACAATGCTAGGATTACAGGCAATATTTTATATATTTTACATGGCAACATTACCTCCCTGCAAAAGTTACTTGGCCTACCAGGGACAGAGGCAGGACTGGAAGCCTGGTTTTCTGTCTGACAGGAGGACAGGAAAGACAAAGAGTGCTCCAGCAGTCACCACCATGTCTGAGAGGTCACTGCTAACATGTCACCTCTGCTTATAGATCTTCATACTGTCATTAGTAAATTAATCCACAAAAAAGACAAATTCCATTAAATGGGCAATTTACCTTTTTGACTGTGACATATCCAGCATTGGTGTGGGGATCTGTGTCAACGCCCAGTCGTCCCTCACTGTCTCCCTCTGTGATACGGTACAGGATTTTGGAACTCCCCGTGAATGGCTCATCAGCATCAGTGGCCTGGATGGTTAAGATGATGGACCCGACTTTTGTGTCTTCAGGGATGGTCACGCTTCCATACTAAGGAGGAAACGGGGAAAGGAAACAGAATGTCCACTGTCATGAAGCAACACTGTCAAAGGAGAAATTTGTCTCTTTGGTTTCAGAATGGACACAAGTTGTAGTTTGCATTAATATGTACAGGGCAGTTTTTCCCTATTGGTGACCACGTTGCAGTTGATTTTAACATCAGTCACACTCACAAACTGATGTCCATCATACCAAGGAACACAGCATCTCAGACGGGTACGGGTAGGATTCTAAGACAGACTCCCTTCCTCCCCTATCCAATGTTTAATAACTATAATTATTATTATAGTAGTAATGATATAAATAAATAGCTGCAATGGATTGAGTACCTATAATGTGGCAGGCACTTTATATATACTATTTTAACTCTTAAATCAACCAAGGAATAGAAGTTAATTATAAGCTTGAACTTTGGAGTCAAAGAGCCTGTATACGAATCCTAGGCTTGCCGCTTGTTAGTTAGATGGCTTGAAGCGAGTTACCTTGCTAAGTGTTCATCATCTGGCTAATGAAGATAATGACAATAGAACCTGCTTCATGTTTGCCATGGGGGTTAAGGAAGATAATGTATGTAAAGCTCCCGAAAGGCTGGCACATAGTAGGTGCTCAATAGAGCAACACAGCACCCTACTGAGTAGCTATATTACCATGTCCATTTACAGAGAAGCAAAGGATTGGAGGGGTTAGACCCACCCGTGATCACGCAGCTAGTGAGTCACAGAACTGGGATGTGAACCCATGTCTGCCAACTCCAAAGCCTGTGCTCTTAGTCACCGGCCTAGCTCATCTCCCACTCCCCTGGAAACCCCCAGACCATCCCTCGGCATCATGATCTTAGAGGTGGCAGGAGGCAGGGTCTGGGAGCGACCACGGCAATGAAAGCAGCAGGTTCCCTCTCTCTGTAGCCAGATGTGTATTTAAGCCCTGAGACTCCCAAAGCAGGATTCTTACCCTCAGTCTAAAAAAGCACTGTCTAGGAGGTAAAATAGGAAAAAATCATAACATTAGGAAAGGCTAAAATGCCCAAGAGCGTGGGGGCTGAGAAGAAACGGGTTCTTTATTCTATGCTTGCTTAACCTCAGTGCCTGTTACACAGGGTGCCTAGTCTCACTTCTTCCCACCTTGAGCCCCTTCATAAATCAATTCCCTTCTTTGTCACAGCCTTGTCTCGATTTTGATTTATGAACATCATCACAGGGCTCTGGGCCGCCTCATAAGTGACTCAAACGTGACATTAACAGTCTCTTCAAATGGGCTTCTCTCTCCTTCAAAGAAAACAGAGACATCCCTTGTAAGGGGAGCAGTGATAAAGCCATCACCAAGTCTGAAGCCCACACCGACAAAAAACAAAAACAGTAATCTGCATTTTTCCTAAGGTTCTAAACTGATTCTTTTTTCCTTTTCATCCAATTCTAATTTTTGCAAATGCCTTGAGTGCATTTTTCTTTGGCATAAGCCAGAGAGATTAACATTTTTCTTTTCTTGCAAGTTACTGCAAAAAGAAAAAAAAACAAAAAACATTTTTCTTCTCTCTCTCTCGTGCCCAATTATTATAAAGTGAGTTTAAATTGTCAAGATTCCAAATATTAAGTTTTTGACTAAAAATGCTAGTTTGAACCTAGCAGTACTCTATTTATTGTCCTGATTCACACAGAATATATAATGATAAACTGCAAGCGGCTATTCAACTCCTTTCAATTTGACAGAGATTGTGGTGGCAGCTTTTAAGCAGCCCTTAGAATAAATGAGCTGTTGGCAGAAGTTTATAAACAGACATCTCTGGATAACTATAACCCTGAAAGTTATTGTTCCCTGAAGACTTCCACAGAAGATGGTGTCTGGGTTTGTTATCGGTGCATTCACCAAGGCTACCTGTTAAGTCTGACGCTTTTCCTAACTACTGTCTGTGTCTTCATCCCAGAAGCAGGGGTTGAGTGATATAAACAAAGTAAAGAAAAAACAAACTGGAAAAGTACTCACATCTGATTTTTCAAAGATGGGGATCTGATCATTGATGTCAATAACATTGATTTGCACAGCACAGAGGGTCGTGAAATCTGAAAAACCAAAGTTATATATCACAGAACTTTTCACTGGAAATCATGCATGAAAATCATAAATCTGTAAGAAAATAATTTACAAGTGAAGTGACAGCCTTAGCCACAATTTTGCAATTGACATGCAAGTTATGTGGAGGGAGGGTCCTCTGCTCCCACCTGCACCTACGTCACCTAAGTCGTCAGGTAGGGTGGAGAGTGCTGAAGACAGACCTGAGAGAGGTTTTTCTGGGCTTCCTACTGTTCTCCACCTGCCCCATCCTAGGGAAGGTCTGTTCCTGAGCTTGATGGCTCCTTTTTTGTGAAGCATCCTCTCTTTCTCTGACCAGCAAAACTTTTAAGTAGTCTTTAAAGCCCAGTGTAAAGTTATCCTTCCTGAAAGCTGTCCCAGTGGCTATGTTTTCCTTCTCTGAACACACCTGTCCTATACCTGCTCTGCCCTTCATGGTGGGGAGATTCGGGGCGCCTGCTCCCTCCTCTCCAAGCAAGGGAGGAAGTGGTAGAATGAGCCTCCTCCAAAGGGTGTGGCTGTCCAGCCTGCAGGAAGCAAGGCAGGGACAGACATAGCTCAAGGAACCCTGGGGAAATGTCTCAGGCTTTCACAGGTGGGTTTGACAATTCGAAGACCTAGTCAGAGACAGTAGCTTCAGTTAGATCCAAGAGGATCACTGAATGAAGGTGGGGGGAAGATCAGAACAAGAAACAAAATGACAGTTCTTTGTTGGGGCTACCATCTTTCTAACCACAATGAACTGCATTGTAAGATGGTTAAGGCTCTAGAATCTCAGTGTTCAGACTCTGGCTCTGCCACTTTCAGATGTGTGAGAGCTTGGGTGTGTCACACAATGTCTCTGGGCCTCAGTCGGTTTACCTATAAAACGTGGATAACAACAGAACTGGGGTTCCCATCGTAATACAAATGGTGAGCAATCTCTATGCACCAGGACAGGAAAGTGCTTTACCTGCATCATTCATTTCGTTGTCACAACAACTTCATGGTGTGTCAGTACTGTTATCATTCCATTTATTAATAACAAATGAGGAAGCAGGGGACAGAGATGTTAAGTACCCTAACCAATGTCATGCACCTAACTAGTGGTGGAACCAGGATTCAAATCCTTTGCTCTCTGTGTTCACTGTCCACTGCTCTGGCTACGCTCTGTGTCCCAGGGGCTGGCCTCATGAAGTGCATTGGTGGACGTCTTGCCCTTGGGTAACAGTTGGGTTCTGCCAATGGGAGGCCTGGCAGAAGCCTGCAGAAAGGGCAGGTGGTGAGCAGTTGGGAGCGTGAAGTCCCCGTTGCTAAAAACCCTCCTCTCTAATGACAGGCACAGGCCTTGCTCCATCAGGGGATGCTCCCTTCCCTGGCTCCTTGGGGCTTTAGAGCAAAAAAGGCTGCCCCTGTGCTATGCAACCACCTCCTGCTGGTTTCCCTTAACCCTTTGCACTCGGATGTCCAGTGTGACTCGACACGGTTAGCAAAAATTATAGAGATTAAAATTACTCTTTGAATGTATCAATAATTTGAAAGATAAAAAAAAATCCAAATAAATAAGTTTGTATGAAAAGAAACTCCAGTTTTTTATTCTACTGCCACACTTTGTAAAATCTGGGGTATTTAAAAAATTAAATCCCGAGTAGAATAAAGGAATTAAGAAAAAAGCAAGCGAGTGCAAAGGGTAACGCTGCCCACAACCTTTACAAATAACCCTTCTTGGAACTCTTCGAGGGGACCTCTGTTTCCTGCTGGGATCCTGATACACCCAGGCAGTCCAACTCTACAGCTTGTGCTCAATGCACTGAGCACACGCCAGGCACATAATCTAATTACAAGCACGTGCATATTGATTGAAGTTGCAGCTGGTCCCCAGAACATTTGTAGACAACAAGAATGGCTGAAGATTAGAGTGGTCCCAGGCCCAGAGCTCACTGGCTCACTGCTCTGCACAGACCTCATTTGGGCCAGCAGTAGGCCTTTTGGGTGACAAGCTATCCTTGATTGTATGTAAAACTATGTTAATTATGGGCTAGTCTCTAATTTCCTGTAGTGCACAATTGAACGTTTAAGTCTATCAACACACATATTTATACGTAAATATACTTAATCTGGTCCACATGTTCCAGGTTACGTGGACTCACGCATGTAAACAATTCATACTCCAATTTTTACTTTATACTTATATCTTCAAACTGCCTCAGTTCCCCATGCATTTGCGCACGGGATTCTCACTCCCCTATAACCCCTACATGAGTTTGTAACTTTTCATATTCATTCTTCAAAACTCAGCTCAGTGACACCTCTTCCAGAAAGCCGTACCTGTTCTCTCCCTCCACTGAGCCACTCATTTCCTTCACGGGTTACCTTGTACAGTTTCTTGCAGTTTATTGATTCATGTGTCCATCTCCTCTACCACAGCGAGCTCTCCTTGAGGACAGACACTAGGGCTTATTCATCTGCAAGTATCCCCAGTACCTTCCATGGTGTCTCAAATAAGCAGATGCTCAATAACCACTAAAAGAATGGGTAGCTAAGAGTGTGAATGGCTAGTTCATCATGGATGAGGGGGGTTTATTATACTTACTTCTGCTTTAACCTCTTAACATAATGCTAGAAAATATTAAGCCCTTGATATTTGTCTAATTACTGGGTTTCAAACATTCTGCATTGAGGCCTGCAAAACCCAGGTTCTCCCTGGTATGTCAACATCCGTGTGGAGACAGTGTGAAGCACAGTGTGAAATGATGCTCATTTCTCCCCCATACCTATGTAACCTGTGCCTCCCAGAACAATTACTGAATTATTCGGTAATCTAAGATTCAGTGCTAGTTAACTTGAAGGATTCTTAAGCTTCCAGGAGTCTGAGCACCCTGGAAATGAATCTCTCTGTAGATAAGTGTATTTGTATGGGTCTGTGCAAATTTTTTAAGAACGTGTGCATTCAACTGAGAATGCATAGTTGTTATCAGAATTCTCAAAGCATGTTGTGACCCAGCAGAGACTAAGAACTACTTGATCTGAAATTACATAAGGATTAGGGAAGAACGTCTCCTAATAATTGTCAAATGGCCAACTGGAAGCTGATAGGAAAAGACAGAGCTTCCCAAACCATGCATTTCTCCTCCCCTTTCATACAGACTCTTGCTTTGAGTTTGACAGCAAGAATTGGGAAACATGATTTCCCTGTTCATGGTCATGGTCTGCAGAATGTGCCTGCTAGACAGACGACCTGCAACAACAGGGACAGTAACTGATGATGGCCTCACTCTGTGCTCCGAAACCCGTCACCGCATTTGCACGGAGGTCTCACATTCCAGGGCTCCTGGCAGCCAGTGACTAAGCAAAGCTCATTCTCAGAGATTGATCATGAACTCCTTTGACAGCCCACTTTGGAGTCCCCCAACAGCCTTATGGAACTTGCCTTAGACTGTTCAGCGGTGTGGGACATCCCCACCAGCCTTCCTCCCCCGCTCCCCTTCACTCAGGGGCAGCCCTGTGCTGTGCTCTGACAGCTCTCCCAGCCTTCTCCCTGCCTCTCTCCATTTTTTCTCACAGGCGTCCTCCTCATGAATTCCTTGTACATTTAATTTATTGTTAGCATTTGCTTCTCAGAGGACCTGGACTTACACCATCACGTTGCCTGAGCTGCAACTCTGGCCTTTGAACCCAGGCCAGGCTGTCCCTGTGTTGCGTGTTTCATAAAGGAAGCAGATAATGTTTACACGGCATCATTCTGGAACATACTCAGGCACTAGAGCAGCCTAACAAATTAAAACTGAAGTAAAACAATTATGTGTACTCAAGACAGCAGGTGTGGCACTGACCTTTGTCGGACACCTCTACCGTTAAGTTGTACTGAGGAGCATCTTGCTTTTTCAAGGATCTTTTAGCTAACTGGAACACTCCCGAATAGGTTTGGACCAAGAAGAGTCCATCCAGGGGAATTTGGGGAGTTTGCGCCACAATTCTGTACCCTAAAACACTGTTGGCAGTATTCTCTTCATCCATGTCATGGGCAGTAAAAGTCCCAATACTGCTACCTGCAGAGAAGAAAAGAAGGAAATCCGACTGGCTCCATGTGATCTATTAAACTTTTACCTTAATCACCTTTTTAAACACACTATATCCAAATATAGTCACATTCCGAGATACCAGGGGTTAGAACTTCACCAGATAAATTTGAGGGAGACAGATTCGGCCCATGACAAAGAATGTCCCCCAGAATTCATGCCTACCAGAGACTCATCACGGGAACTTTTTTGGAAGTAAGGCCCTTGCAGATGTAACTAGCTAAGGATCTTGACATGAAATCTCACCCTAAATCCAGTTATAGGTGTTCTTACAAGAAGAAAGGACGCAGAGACACACACAGCAGAGTAGCTGATAGACGGAGGAGGTCAGAAATTGGAGTGCTGCTGCTACAAGTAGCCAAGGAATGCCAGGAGCCAGCTGAGGCCAGAAGAGGTGAGCGAAGGTCTGCCATGGAGACTCTGGAGGGAGCATGGCCCTGCCAGCACCTGGATTTCAGGCTCCTGGCCTCTGCACTCCGAGACGATACATTTCTGTTGTTTTAAACCACCAAGTTCATGGTGGCTTGTTGCAGCAGCCCCAGGACACCAGTGTGCATGGCAAATGGGATAACTAAGCAAAGAGCAGCCAACCCCAGGTTACTTCTAAGTAACTTTGTGAAACAATTGCCCAGACTGAGATGTTGCACCCCAGAGATAATGCAGGGCAAAGAACAGGCACGATCCTCTCTGCAGTTCACGGTCCTAAGTACTGTATTGTCGTGAGCATTTCAGTGCAGGGAGCTCCACAAGTCAGTGGCTGGGACCCAGCGCTCCAGCGCTGGGTGAGTTCTGTCAGGTTCTAGTTCTTACTCTGTGAAATGGGAATTGTGATGTGGTTTCTTTATACGCAGCAAGAATCCCACCTAGGAGCTAAAACTGGAGTTCAACTCATTTGTGCAGTTAATTTACACCTTGCTCCCCGTATCAGTTTGCATCCACTGACCTATATGGAAATGTGGAGGTGTTTTTGGTTTGGGGTGGGAGGAGGGGAAGGGAAGTACCTATGCTATGTCCACAATGGAGCTGGACACATGCAGATGTGTCTCAGGGGCTGGGTGCAGGGACGGTCGTGAGCAACAGGACAGAAGAGAATATACATCTAGTGCAGTGGCAGCCACTTACTTTAGAATCCATCACAACCAGGTAATGTTCGTGGCATGTGTGTGCCCTGGCAAACAAAGTATCTGTGTGTAGGGAAGAAGGAGCATCTTGCTAAACTCTGTGATGCGTTGGTGTCTAAGCTGCCCTTGGCTTTGGGGCAAGGGCAGTTTGACTTTCCACTCAGCAAGTGAGCACAAGACCAAGGACACTGTTCTCCCAATCTACAGAGAACATCCTGGTCTCAGAGGCCCCATGAGGACTGTGGGCACCAGGGGACACCCATCCGTGGGAGTGGACGACTTTGTGCAGGAGCCAGAGGCGAAAAGAGAACCACGTCTCTGAGTGACTGAGGCCGGAAACTAGTGGCAGCCCAGATTGATCCAGGAGTACACACAGCATCTCCTGGAGGGCATCTAGAAACACTCCAGGAAGGTGGGGCTTTTATGAGGGGCTAAATTTCCAGCATGAATATGTGGGACTTGATTGTAAGTGGGATTCAAGAATCAATGTTGATATTGCTAAGACTTGGGGACACAAGTCCTACAAGATACTGGCTAATACAAGATACCAAAGAGGAAAATGTAAATGTACCAAGGAATGATTTAGCATTTTATTTGTTAATGTTCCATCTACGCATGTGCTGCCAGCTCAGCTAGACAGGAAGCCCCACAGGGAAGGGGCATCGTCTTGCTGCTTCTTCAGGCTACATATATATACTCGGTTGATTTATAAGAATTCTTGGTCCATTAAAAGCTTTGTGAAATATCTTTACAAAGTAAATTCTCACTTTTAGAGAGGTAAATAGCATGCTGATCCCTGAATAATTTATTCTACCAACGATGACTTCACCAGTCTGAGAAAATGAGTACTATTCTCTTCCCAAACGAGGGAGGAAGCCCCTAAAAACCAGTAATCCCCATCTCCTGATATTCATGCTTTTCCATGACCTCCTCCCTTTGAGTGTGGGCTGGGCCTGCTGACTTCTAATGAATAGAACATGGCAAAAGTGATGGATGTCACTTCCGAGATTAGGTTATAGAACACCTGTGATTTGTCTTATCTTTCCTCTCGCTCTCTCGCTCTCTCACTCTCTCACTCTCTCTCTCGCTCTGAATAGCTGAATAACTCCAGCTGAGCTGTACTCAGATTCGTGATTCACAGAAACTGTGAGATGACACATGTTTTTTGTTTTAAGCTGCTAAGTTTTTAGGCAATTTTTTACGCAGCAATAAATAACGCTATATTAAATGTTTGGCCCAATGCAAAGAGACATCAGGTATCATCTAGAAAGGTCTTCAAAGGTTTTCTGCCTTTATTCAGCATCACAGACCATCCCAGATTTCCAAAAAGGGTGATGCCACAAGTGTTGGTTGGCTGTTGTTACACATTTCATTGTCACACAGTTGTCACTGTGAGAAGACTCTTCCTTATGATTAACTGAAATCCTTCAAGCTGTCATCTAACTCTTCCTGTTGCGGCAAAAGTTAGAATAGATGAAACAGAGTGGACCTGAGCTGAACACAGGGACTATAGGTAGCCTACACATGACACCTGACAGCAAACAAGCCACTCAAGCAGTGCCCACCAAGACGCCAGGAAGGCATCACTGTATTGTAGGTGTGTAGGAAGAGGAGTAGAGAGATCAAAAGAAAATGATGAGAATGTCCACAAAGCATATAAGAATCTGCCCACAAGGGCAGCAGAGCCCTAGAAATGATAGCTATCGGAGGCTGTTAAACTTGTAAGCCTCTGAAATGTACACAACAATACAGACCAAAACATTTCGAGGAAAGCCAGATTGCTCAGTCAATGGTCTCAACACCAACAGGGAAATAGACAAGGGTTGTCCCCAAACCAAGGAAGTCATTAGACTCCCAGAAATCGTAATGTTCTTATGGTATTTGTTCCCATACAAAACTAAAGCTATCATGAGACACAGTGAAAGAAAACGTAGCAAGTCAAGACCAAAAGGAAAAAAATAGATGGGACTCAAATTTCATCTACCAGCGTCCTGAATTATTATTGGCTTCCTAGAGAGGGAGGCTCAAGGGTCAAAGTCAACTTCCATTGGTATTGCTTACGTATTGCAGGGTATCTTGACTTTGGGTGTAAATGTTTATTTAAATAAATTATTTAGCAAATTTGATGAAATTGTATCTCTTTTAATGAGCTTATTAGAGGTCAAATAATTTATGGGAAAAATCTTGCAAATGAGATATCCCTATGCACATACACAGGATACTGATGTAAGTAGTTATGGTACTAGTGATAGTAGTAAGGGTGATAGTAGTAGTAATAGTGGCAGTAGTGGTGGTGGTCATTATAAAAGCTCCCATTTAAGAATACTACCCAGATAATCCTTGATCCAAACCTGAGGTGCATTTAGCCTCTATACTGCACTACAGACATGGATTATTTACTCCCAGTTAGGTCTACCTGCCCACCTTTACCCAACGGAGAGGAGAAAGGGATTCCAGAGTTTGCATGGGGAAGACAGTTACACAGCATCTCTTACCCAGTTGTTCATTCTCCTGAACCTCAAATACAGTCACTGCAGATGGACATGCAGGCGGGTTATCATTAATGTCTTTAACTTTTACACGAATTTCCAGAGGGTATGAAAGTGGTTTTCCGTGCTCATCTTTTGCAAGCGCATAAAAAACATACTACAACAGGAAGGTCAGAGTTAAGACAAGGTTTTCTCACCACCCCTTTATAAGGCAGAGAAAATAGCTGTTTCATTTCTATTTCATTTACCCACTTATCTTCAGTTGGCTTAGGAAAAAATGAGATGGGCCAAAATTATGGGAAAATTACCAAATTGCAATGTATTTGAAAGCCAATAATATGCTGGGGTCTGGAATGCAGATTTTTTTTTTTTTTGTAAGTAAAATCAATTTTGCTGTCAACTGTAGATGGACATAGGACTTTGTCTTGTTGCCTATGAAACTCGTCCCATTTTACTCACCGAATCCTTTTCTTCCCGGTCCAAGGGCTGAGTCACATAAATATTTCCTTCCTGGTCAATTGAAAATGGGAATCTTGGCAGCTTCTCTTTTTCAAATAAGGAATATTGTGCACCTGGATCATTCCACTGCACCTACAGAGCCCGAAGTGAATTGTGAGGAGAGACACATTTAGAGAGAACTGGAAAGGAAATTAACAAGTTTTTTGGTTCTTAATTTGAAATTTCTGACAACCTTGTTTGTATGTCTGTGGTTTCTTATAACAACTCAATTACATTTTTCATTTTCAACCTAAAATGAGTCCTTTTTTTCCCCATCAAGTTATATTGCTCATAAAAACACACACACACAAACCAGGAAATTTTTCTTCTCTAAAGCAATTCTTGGTTGAACCCTCTAAGGGTTGGTGAGTTGTTTTCTTTTAGAAGTCTGACTGTGAAAGCTGCATATCTGTGAAACATCAATTTAAGAAACAAAATGTACTTTGTAGCTGCCATTATCTGAACACTAAGCCATGATGTATGAAGCTTCTAAAACTTACCAATGAAGATGAATAAGAACAACAGTGGCCACTTTAGACCCTTCTCCTTGGTACTATTTAAGTAAGACAAATGACACCTAAATAAGGCACATTCCTCCCCTAAATATCTAGTCTGAAAGACTTCAGGGATAAGAATAACTGCCAACTCCTAGAGTTGTTTTGTAAACAACCTGGTAAAAAAAAAAACAAAACTGGTAAACTCACTAGTAAGACCAGTTTCCTTGCTATATAAACAGGGCCTGATCTCTTAGATATTCTAATACTAATACTAATAATATATTTATTGAGGCTTTACCACATGTCACATGTAATTCTCAACATTTTTATATATTGTCTCATTTAATCCTCAAACAGTCCTAATGAAGTAGAGGCTACTGTTATCCCCATTTTCGAAATGAGGAAACAAAGGCACAAAAAATTCAAGTGACTTGCCCAAGGTCCTACAGCTAATTGAAATTTCCACACTAAACAATTTTTTTTTTTTTTTCCGGCATATTATGGGGGTACAAATTTTAAGGTTTCAATAAATGCCCTTTCCCCCCTCCCCCCACAAGTCTGAGTTTCCAGCATGACCATCCCCCAGATGGTGCACATCTCACTCATTATGTATGTATATACCCTCCCCCCTCCCTCCTCCCACCTGCCCAATACCCTATTACTGTAGTTCCTATGCGTCCACTTAGGTGCTGCTCAGTTAATACCAGTTTGCTGGTGAGTATATGTGGTGCTTGTTTTTCCATTCTTGGGATACTTCACTTAGTAGTATGGGTTCCAGCTCTAACCAGGAAAATATAAGATGTGCTATATCACCATTTAAACAATTCTCTGACCAGCCTGGGAAGGTATCAAGGACACAACTTTGTCCCTTGCTAGTCATTTAACTATCTCCCACTGTCCATGCCAAAGACCATATTCCTGGTTCTAAAGTGAGCTCTCTTGTGTCCTAAAAACTTGGCCTTATTTCTTTTTTCTTGAGCTGCACACCTCTCCACTCTCCTGAGTTTCAAAACGTACAGGCCTGGAAATTGGGTGTGGCACCCAGAATTTCCTTTCTTTGACAACCCCAAGAGCAACTGAGCGTATTGGTTATTTTGAGCATTTATAGATCCCTATGGGATAACTTGATCTCAGGGTAATCAATGCTAACATGTTTTCTTAGCTGGGAAAGCACAATTCCTCTTGCTTTCATTCTTTTTTTGTTGTTGTTGTTCCTGAAGATGAAGTTCATTAATTCAACATTCAATAAATAAGAGTCCCTTTAGGTTAGATAATAGATATGGTGGGATGGGCCATTCCAGGGTCCCTTCACAGCAATAGTATCATTTAAAAAAAATTTTTAGGGAAACTACAAACTAGTACTTCTTCATAACATTAACATCTTTTATCCACTTTCACAGACACTACACCTCCATTCATCTTCATAACACTGAGGGGTGTTATTATCCCCATTTTACTGATGATAAATTGGGGCTCAGACTAGTTAAATGACTTGCTTGGTTCACAATCAGTCATTAAAGTAATGGAGCAAGAACATGGTTTCGGTTGTCTACTTCCTAATCCAGGGATGGCCCATTGACCCCCAGCTTTCATGTCAAGGAACCTCCTGGGCTTCTAGAAAAGCTCAGATCTAGATAGAGTCTAGGTTGGATTCCCAGGAGCTAAGGTAGGAGGGGCCCCAGGGAGCCCATAGAAGCTGGGAGGAGCAGCATTTGAATAGAGGCAAGAGGCACACACGGAAGATGGAACAGTGTGGGGAAAGGGTGTCTCCAAGGGTCCAGGTTGCCTACTGGGACTCTCTTTCCCTTTGGCAGTCCTGTCTCTATCCCTTAGCCTCTGACAGGATGAGTCTATTGGGTCAAGATTTTTCCCACAAGCATAGGAAGCAGATTTTCAAAAATTCTTGCAACTTTAAATTCAAACTATGTACATATAGACAATGTGTGCACCACGTACAACCCACTATAGGGCAGCCATTCCCCACACTACTGACAGGGAAGAACAAACATGACTGCTGCTTTTAAGGTGAGGGTGAGTGAAGTCCTCTCTGAAAGCTCAAATATGTATCTGAACCCAAGCTTTCTGCCCATGATGTCAAGTCCAGGGACTATTCCATGTGCTTTATGCTATGCAAAAATGTATCTAAGATATGGATCAGCAGAGACCATGAGGGTGGGGCTCTACAAAGTGAGGCCATTTATCCAATAGGTTCTAGGTGTTACTGGGGCACTACCTGAGTGATTTTGATGGGGTGAGGGTCTGTGGAATTTTCTACTATCTCCACAGGTTCTGGGGCTTTCCAAATATTCTCCGTCACCGTAATATCCACTGACGTGGAATCACTGAAGGAATTCTCAGACTGGCCTCCCATGTCCTTCACTGAGACCACCAGATTGTAGGAAGGGTTCTTAGCAGGATCCAATTCCTGAGCCCCTGTGGGAAGTTGGTGAGAAGAAAACAGACACTTTCAGAGATATACCTAAGTCCTTTTTTCAGTCCTATAGGGCACCCATCAACGTACCTTCTTGGGTAAGTGAGATTGCCCCTGTTTTGTTGTTGATCTGAAAGTACATGACATTGTTGATCTTGGGCAGCTGGATGACAATTTCATAAAAAAGCTGGCCATTGAGAGTGGCCGGATCATCCAGGTCTGTAGCATTGACATACATGAAGGGCTTTCCTGTTGTACCCAGGGAAAAAAATAAAATAAAAGATATTAATTGAAACCCGAACCAAGCTTAGCCACTTTTGCCTTCTAAGAAGAAGAGACAGAATGGGGGAAGGTGTGAAAATTCATATTAGTGGAGAAATAAATCTTTATTCTGCTCTTTTCCCCTAAGATAGGATTTCTTAAAGTGTGGGCCAGGAACCTCTAGGGATCCCAGAAACTGTTTCAAGATATCCATAAAGTTAAAAACTGTGTATGTGTAAAAGATCCATTTAAAGTACAAGATAATTTAATGGATTTTAGTGTAAAGGAATACAAAATATATCATTGATATGGTTTCATATTCCACATTGCAACTAATCTTTAAGTAACCACCACCCATTGAGTTTTGGTACATATCACTGAATGTCTACAGTTATCTGAAAATGTTATTAAAATATTCATCTCTTTTTAAGCTACATATCTGTACAAGTCTAATTTTTCTTCATATACTACAACTAAAATATTATATGGCAACGGAATGAATGTAGAAATAGACATGAGAATTCAGTTGTTTTCTATTAATTCAGACATTAAAAGATTTGCAAAAATTAGAGCAAATACCATTTTTCTCACTAAATTATTTTTGCCTTGAAAGTAGTTATTTTTCATCAAAATGTTTTATGTTAAATGAATTACTATTTTTAAATTTCTCAGCTTTAATTTTTAATATATTCAATATTGATAGAATGAATGGCATACTGGAGTCAGCTCATGGGAGCCAATCATTGAATTTTCAGAACTTCTGTGAGTCCTTAAAAATGGTAAAATGGTAAGTTATATATGTATGTTTTACCTCAATAAAAAAATTTTTTAAATAAATGAAATTTTGTGAGTCAATTTTTAACATCATTGGTAGTTTGAGAGAGGCCATTGTGGGAGTTATTTATGTCATGGAAATTGGCAAATGCTACAAATCAGGGATTTGCTTCCTCCATCCTCCCAAGAAACACCTGTTAAACATTTACCAAGATACCACTGGACAGAACCCACCTGTCTAAATGTTCTTTGGAGACCTCAGTATCAGAGTCTGTTAGTGAGTCTTCGGTGTCCAATCTAAGGGACAGTGAAATTGCTCCATATAATAAAGTGGAAGTAAATTTTTCCCTCTGAATAATTGAAAGTGGGCATTGAAGACTAACGTAATGGGAAGCTCAATGGTGAGTTGATGGAAATGTCCAGGAGTCTTTCTGAGAACCCAGAAGTCTAACATTCATTTTTGTTTTGTGCACAGTTATGATGTGATTCTACTCCTAGGTGCCTGCTGCATACACTTATACCTTGACAAAGGGTTTCTGTACAAATGGAGAGTAGGTTGTTAATGCAGCAAAGAGAAGGAACAAGCTGGGAGGTAGATGTAACAGAAGAAAAAACTGGGAAAAAGCAATGACTATGATAATGTAAGTTCCTGAGAGGATATGGGAGAGTGAGCTCACCTTTCCAGAATGTTCTAGATTGTTCTAGAGCTCTAAGGTATTTTTAAAGCTCACCCTAGAAAACCATTTTTCAAATGAGGGTGATTTTGACCAGTTGGACATTTGGTGATGTCTGGGGACATTTTTATTGTCACAACTTGGGGGAGGGCTGTTCCTGGCATCTAGTGGATAGAGGTCTGAGACACTGCTAATCATTCTGCAGTGGACAGAACAGCTCCTGACATAAAAGGAACTATCAGGCCCAAGATGTCAATACCTAGTGCTAAGGTTGAGAAACCATGTTCTAGAACAATAGGAATAAGAAAACAACTCCTAGAAGATCAGTGTGAAGTTTAAATAAGATGGTAAGTGTGTAATGAGTGATTGCTGCAGCTGTTAGCTGCACAAATCCGTCCCCTTCTACCTGATTCGCCCTTCCATCTTTCCATAAACATCTCCTGGCTCCAGCCTGTTACCTGGGCGAGAGTTCTGCCTTACTGAGCCTTCGTACTTCGGCTGGTGGAACATGGGCCGGTTGTCGTTGATGTCCTTCACTTCTATGGTGATGGGGACGGGGCCCTCAACTATAGCTCCATGAGCATCCAGAGCCGCAACCTGACATTGAGGAAAAGGAAATGACCTTGGTCAAACTGAACTTCATATCACAAGCCCAAAGGTCACTTGAAGGAAATTAGAGCTCAAAGAACCAATGGCCCAGTGACTGTAGGGGAGAAGGAACCCACAAAAGCCCAAAGTGAGAGCTGCTAAATCAGGGGCCCTATCAGTTCGGCCCAGATAGTCATGACAGTGACTTTCTAGCAGCAGGGTATGCTGGACACTGGACATGCTTCTGTTCCTAAATGGCTGGAGTCGGTGAAATGAGAGTACTTTGACCCTCGATGCTATGGAAGTTCAGTGTCATCTTACAGAGCCATTATGGTGGTCAGCCTGCAGAGTCCACAGCAGAAGGTATCAGATAGAAAGCTTGAGGCTTGCTCTTTTATTCAGTTAGCTCTCTGCTATTACTATGTATTCAGATACCAACCATGAAAACTAAGGGGGGAAAAGAGGGAGAAGGGTCTATTTAGTTAGCCTTTGTCCATTGGTTCCTTCTGCCTCTTCCCAGGACCAAAGTGGCTCCACCCCAGCACTGATGCTGCCTTCTTTATGGGTCCAGATCTCACCCAATAGCCACAGGCAGATACCAGTGACGCATCAGAAAACCGTTGGCTTGGTTTTGACTCAGGTGCCTGATCATGGCCTTACTTGGATGAATAACAACATCTGAGAGTCCTGGCAATGTAAATTGCGTTGCTCTGGTTAAAAAGCCTAAGGAAAAGGGTCCCTTTGCCATGCTCCTCTGTGGCTGGTTAAAAAAGGACATACGAAGTTCGCAAAGTCAGCCATTAATGTTAGGAGAGCTATAGCAGGATTCTAAGCAAGGGATGAGGTGCCGATGATACTTCTAGAATAAAGGGTCCTCAGAGAGGTTGGAGTTAGGTCCCTTTGTCTGATCTCAGTTCACCTGGAGATTGTAAATAGATCTTGTTTCCCTGTCCAGGGGGTTGATGAGATACAGAAGTCCATCTGGTTCTATCTTGAATGTGTTGTTTGTCTCCCCAGTTAGTTCAAAGGACACAGCAGGAGGATTGACCTTAAACTAAGAAAAAGCAAAAAAAAAAGATTAGGTTGGAAGGAAAAACTATATTATGGAATTTGTAGAAAGTCACCAATTTCAGGCAAAGTTTGCCTTTGTACCATCACTAAAAAAGAAATCCTCAGCTTTTAAAGTGGTACATTCTGAAAGTTTGCTTGCAAACTATGTAATGTGCAAAATATATTTTCCTCAAGAAACAATGTATAATATAAATCAATACATTGACAAAAGCCACTGATGCTTTAAATTGTAGCTGGGGTTACAGATTTTTCTGAGAATATCTGAAAGCTATGGCATTACTAGCTTCTAAGAAACATTGAAAAGGGATGCTTTATTGCTAAGATAAAAGGATGTCAGTACCTCTAAAAATTGTGACAAAGATAAATAGACATGTTAATATTAAGAAAAACAATTTATAAGTGATTTCAACTTGATAAAATACTATATGATAATCTCTTAATTATTAATATTTTAGAAGTGAAGAAAATATCAACCACAATATTTTATATATACAGGACTTTTTAAGACCACAAGAATAGATAATTCACGAAAATCTAAGAAGACATAAAAGTTGTTCAACTTCATTAAGTTTCAATATGTTAATATTGAATATGTTAATATGTTTTTATTAACAAATTAAACAATAATGCCAATATTATTAAGCATATAAAGAAACACTGTTGATAGAAATATAAATTAATATAATCCTTTTGGAAATAACTTGAAGCATAAAATGGTTGTAGCCTTTGATAGCAAACATTACTATACAGAATTTAGCCTAAAATATTTTTTTAAACAATATACTACATGCTTATAATATAAGTAGCTTTATTTATAATACTGGTAAAGTTGAAGACTCCTAAATGTCCTTTTCAAAGAAAAAGGACAGTGAAATTATTATAGCACATAAGCTTGATAGAGTATTAATTTTTAAAATATTTATTCTACAAATTACGAAGAAACATAAGAAACAATGATATGATGTGAAATAACAAAAGTAAATTTAAGAGTAAATCTAGACTATAATTATAATAGTACCAAAGATGTCCATATCAGTAGGCAAGAAATGGAATTTTTAATAAAAATATGAGAATAGTTGATGTGTTAACCAGGTAAGATTATGGGTAAAGAATTTTTTGTGCATGTTTGCTTGCTGATATTATATTGTTTATATAATAAATGAAAATTTTGCTGTCTTGCATTTTAAGAAAAAGGCCCAGACATAAGTGAGAAAGGTAGAGTAAGAACCTGCATTAAAACTACTCCACCATAAAAGCAATGGGAACACTGGTAAAAATAGTAAATATCAGCTTTGTCAGAACCTGGGAAATTAACCAAATGCTTGTAAAATCCAAGAAATGTTAATTTCTTAAAAATTACTGAATATCAGTAAGAACCAAGCTTTCTGGTCTTTTAATATGCCCTAATCTCGTTGTCCTTTTCTAAGATCTGAAGTATCCTTGAAAACCAGGAGCCTCACAACCACAGCACCACTGTGGGGGCAAGGTGGGTTTGGAATTTCCCAAAATCCCCATCAGCAGAGAACTCTCATTATCTGACCTAACATTTCCCTAGAAACATCTACTCATGGGGCTTGTCTTTATTTGACCTGACTCAGAACTTACTCACTACCAATAATTGTTCCCCTGTGGCTTTTGTTGAAAACAATCATCAGCGATTGTTTAACATTGCAGCTACCCAAGGCAAGCAAATAAGAAGCTGACCAAAACACTTAAAAGGAAAAGCTGGGGAATGAGATGTCCACAGGGGGCTTTGAAAATCGTTGGCATATTCCTGGCAATCTAGAAAGCCATATTCATGAGCAGGGCTGTGCACGTGCCTGGGAAAGGCCTGAGATGGCCCTAATCCCTCACCTCTGGGTGACCTGGAGGCTCTGCACAAGCAGAAAGTGAAGGCTAAGGCAGAGTTGTAAACTGCCTGCCACACTGTTGCAGGAGCGCCCCCAACATGCACACGGTGCCCCTTTGTAAAGGCAAGAGACTTATCGATGCAAGGCTTTTAAGGAAATCTCTGTCTAGTCATTAGGTGAACACTAAGCTAACTGAGCAGAGACTTCGGTGGCCGCAAATGACAAAGACTTTACAGAATTAGTTCAGGAAAGTCACTAAACAAACAGCAACAACAACAAACTCTGGGGAAAGGAAGAGATGGTTTCCAGAATTGCCATATTACACTGTGTAAAATGTTTAATTTTCAACAAATTATTTTTGAAACATACAAATAAAATAAGTCCCATATGCAGGAGAAGAAAAGCAGTCAGTAGAAACTGTCCCTGAGGGAGCTCATATGTTGGATTGACTACATAAAGATTTTTAAATCATCTATTTTAGGTAGATTCAAAAACTAAAGAAAGCTATCTTTAAAGAACAAAATAAAAGTATAAAAACAATGTCTCACCAAACAGAGAATGTAGATAAAGAGATAGAAATTTTATTATTTTAAAAAATAGAAATTCTGGAATTGACAAGTACAATAACTGGAGTGAAAAATTCATTAGAGGGAGCACAAAAGAAGATTTGAGCTAGCAGAAGAATCAGTAAACTTGAAAAAAGATCAGTTGAGATTATCCACCCAAAAGTACAAGAAAAAAGTAAATGAATAAAAATAAAGAGATCCCAAAAGACCAGTGAAATACCATCAAGCAAACAATTCCATGCATTATGATAGTACCAGAAGGAAATAAAAGAGTAAAAAAAGGAAGAAATATTATTTGAAGACAGATTGACCAAAAACTTCCCAAATTTGAGAACACCACTAATCTATATATCCAACAAGCTCAATGAATTCTAAATAGAATAAACTCAAAGAAATCCAAACCTAGACACATCATAATCAAACATTTGAAAGACAAAGAGAAAATCTTGAAAGCAACAGGAAGGAATCTTCAAAGTACATAGATCCATCACATACAAGGGATGCTCGATAAAACTAACAGCTGATTTTTCATGGAGGGCAGAAGGCAGTGCAATGACACATTCAAAGTGCTGAAAGAAAAAGAGTGTCAAGTAAAAATTGTAAATCCAACAAAACTATTCTTCAAAATGAGGATGAAATTAAGCTCTGCTACTCTCAGACAAAACACATTTTAAGAAAAAACATTTAGAGGCCAAAAAAAAAGACATTTTATGATGATACAGGGGTCAACATATCAAGAAATCATAACAATTATGAACACATATGGAACTAACAATAGACCTCAAAATACACAAAGGAAAAACAGAATTGAAGGGACAATATACAATTCAACAGTAATAGTTGAAGATTTTGAGATTCACTTTCAATAATGTATAAAACAAATAGAAATAAGGAAACAGAAGACTTAAACAACACTATAAACAAACTAGAAGCTAACAAACTCCATCCAACAAAAGCCAGTCACATGGAACATTCTCCAGGAGAGATCATATGTTAGTCCATAAACAAGTCTCATTTAATTTAAAAGGATTGAAGTCATACAAAATATTTTACAATGGAGTAAAATTAAAAATCAAAAGGAAAAAAATTGAGGGAAAAAAATCACAAATATGTGGAAATGACAACACATTCTAATAACAGGTCAAAGAAGAAATCAAAAAGGAAATTAGAAAATACTTTGAGATAGATGAAAAATAAACCACAACATACCAAACTTTAAGGGATGCAGATAAAGCATTTATTAGATGGAAATCCATAGCTGTAAGTGCTTATACTTAAAAAGAAGAAATATCTCAAATCAATAACCTCATCTTCCACTTTAATAAACTATAAAAAGAAGAATAACCCCAAAGCAGAAGAAAATAATAAAGATTAGAGTGGAAATTAATGAGAATATGAATACAAAGGGGGAAAAAAACTCAATAAAACCAAAAGTTGATTCTTTGAAACGATTGACAAAATTGATTGACAAAATTGACAAATTCTTAGCTGCAGTGACCAAGAAAAATGAGACAAGATTCAAATAACTAAAATCAGGAATGTAAGAGGACATATCGCAGCCAACATTACAGAAATAAAAAGTATGAAAGAGAATACTGTGAGCAATTGTTTTCCCAGAAGTTAGACAACCTAAGTGAAATGAGCAAATTCCTAAACAGACAAAAACTACTAAAACTGATTCAAGAATACAAAGACAATCTGAATATAACAGGTGAAGAGGTTGAATTAGTAACAAAAAAAATCTCATAAAAAAAAAAAGCCTAGGACCAGATGGCTTCACTGGTAAATTCTACCTAACACATAGAGAATAATTAACACCAAACCTTCATATGTTCTTCCAAAAACAGGGAGGGCAAGGAACACTTCATTCTATAAGGGCATTATCCTGATACCCAAACCAGAAAACTATAACACAATAAAATGTCAGACTAATAATTCTTATGAATATATAGACACAAACATTTAAATGAAATACTAGCAAACTAAATCCAGCACCTATAAAAAAAAAGGATTATATATTATTACCAAGTGGAATTTGTCCCAGAATACAAAGCTGGTTCAATACATGAAAATCAATTAACCTAATACCCCATGTTAACAGATTAAGGGACAAAAAACCCTATCTCAATAGAGGCAGAAAATGATTTGACAAAATCCAATATCCTTTCATGATAAAGATGCTCAACACATTAAGAGTAGAAGGTAACGTCTCAACCGGATAAAAGACATCTAAGAAAACCCCACAGCTAACATTATACTTAATGGGTAAAGACTGAGAGTTTTCTCCATAAGATCAAGAACTAGACAAGTTATGTCTAATCTTGCCACTGCTACTTAACGTCATATTGGAGGTCCTAGCAAGGGAAGTTAGGCAAGGGAAAAAAATAAAATTCATCCAGATTGACATAAAATAATCTCTATTCACAAATGACATTATACATATGGAAAATCCCAAGGAACCTTTAAAAAATTATGATAGCTATTAAACAAGTCAGAAAAAAGATTAATATACAAAAATTAATTTGATTTCTATATACTAGCAAAGAACAACCTGAAAATATTTTTACAATTCTGTTTACAATAGGATCAAAAAGAATAACATACTTCAGAATAAATTTAACCAAAGAAATATAAAGCCTTGCAAAAATAAAACTACAAAGCATTGTTGAAAAAAATTTAAACAGATCTAAATACATGGAAAGACATCCATGTTTATGGATTGAAAAATTTAATATTGTTAAGATGGCAATACTTCCCAAGTCAATCAGATTCAACACAATTCCTATCAAAATCACAGCTACCTTATTTGTATAATTTCATTTTTTATTTCAGTTTCAGTTTGACAGTTCTTGGCATATATGAATACCTCTGATTTGTGTATATTGATTTTGTAACCTGAGACTTTACCGAATTCATTTATACAATGCTGGTAGAAATGTAAAATGGTTCAGTTGCTTTATAGAACAGCTTTTCAGTTCCTCAAAATGTTAAATGTAAAATTAACTTTGACCCAGCAACTCCACTACTAAGTGTGTGTGTGCACACACACACCCAAGAGAATCAAAAACATGTCCTCGTAAAAGCTGTACATGAATGAATGTCCATAGCAGCATTATTCATTATATCCATAAGTGGGGGGGGGACCAATGTCTATCCATTGATACATGGATTGATACATGGATATTCAAAATGTGGTATATTTGTACAATGGAATATTATTCAGCCATAAATAAAGAAGGAAGTTCTGAAGCATGTTACAATATGGATAAACACTGAAAACATTATGGTACACGAAAGAAGCCATACACAAGAGGCCAAATGTTGTATGATTCCATTTACATGAAATGTCTACAATAGGCACATCTATAGAGACCAAAAGCAGATTAGTGGTTGCCAGGGGCTGAAGGGAGACGGTCTGGGGAATGACTGTTAATGAGCACAGGATTTCTTCGGGGGCTGATAAAAATGTTGTAGGAATTAGATAGTGCTGATAGTTGCATATCTTTGTGATATACTAAAAACTACTGAATTACACATTTTAAAAGCATGAATAAGGTATATGAGCTATATCTCATTATAAATAAAAAGGAAAAAAAGACCTGTCTCAGATTTATATCATACTGTCTTGTGATCTAGAAGCCCCTAGAGCATACTGAGCTGGCTAGATGAAAATCCTCAACGAAAGAAGTCTATGGTTGTTTAGTTCATTTTATTTTGGAGGGCATATTCACAACACAAGGACCCTGACTACCTGTCCTCTGTCATTTTCTTTCTCATGCACACCTCCATGCTTTTTCCCATCCTGTACTCTGTGCCTGCTTCCTGTCTGTGAGTACCTGCTTATCCTTGAATACTCAGCCTAGGGGGTGACAATAAAACCTCTTCTGTTCACCCACCACCCCCACCATTTAAAATTGATCACTCTTCAATTTTAAGTGTTCTCACCACAAAAAAAAAAAATCGTGTGTGAGGAAATGCCTACGCAGTTAGCTCAATTTAACCATCCCACAATGTGTATATATATCTCATAATGACATGTTGCACATGATAAACACATACAATTTTATTCAATTTAAGAAATCAACACAAATAAATAAAACTGGTCACTGTCTTCACATGTCCTTTGCCCCTTCCACATCCCACCAGACTCCCACCAGAACCTTCAGCACATGTGGTTGTCTGCTTGTTAGTTTTCTCCTATGAACTGGGAGCTCACTGGGACAGGGACAGTGTCCAGGTCATCCCATAGCCCCGGTACTCAGCAGAGCACCTGGTATACAGTAGTCACTCCATATATGGTTAATAAAAGAAAATGAATGTGTGCCTAGCACACGAAGTTCTTACCAGCTTGAGAAGCATAACACACACACACACAAAAATAGAAAACGCCAGAGAATCTACAACCAAGTGCTCACTCCCTGGAAGGGCAGAGAAAGGAAGGAGGAATGAACACATCTCCTGTGGAAGCCTTCACCATGGTAGACTCCTAACCATTTCCCTCGTCCTCCCTGTCCTCCTAGAGCCTGCAGGCAGAGTGATCTTTTATGACTGGAAAAGACCCACTGCTTCTGAGAGAGAACCTAAGAGCCTTAGGAGTCAGGTCCTTCCCTGTCTCTGCAGCCTCCTCTCCTCCTGGCTCTGTCCTCCCCAGCCATGTGGCCTTCCGCCAGTCCTAGGTAGGTGCCCTGTCCTCTCCCCTCGCAGGGAGGCTGTCCCTCCTGTGGCTTTGCTGGACTCTCTTCCCTCCCTCCCTCACCAAGTGAAGCCCGCCAGCCTCCGCTTCCTTGCCGCTTCCTCAGCGCCCGACTTCCCTGACGGGAGAGGCCAACTGCAAATGCGCTGCAGTTAACGGAGGACACCTGCCTTTGAAGGTAGTTTGGCAACCCCTTTCTACTTCCCGGTGACATGGGCCGGGGGGAGTCCTGGATACCCGCAGAGACTCAGCAAAGCATCCTCCACCCACTCCAAGGCCGCACAGCTTCCTGAGTGGATGTCTGGTAAATACAGTATGTTTTTCTCCTTCTTCATTATGTTTCCAGGATTACCTCTGTGCTCTTAATAGCTGAAGTCCCTTCCCTCACTCCCACCTGCAGCCTCTCCCCTGCCCCCAGTCTGATGCCTTTCACAGTCACCTAACTAAGCACGACAACCACTTGCCAGCATGCCTTGCTGATGGCCAGGCCTGGGCTCAGAGGTGGCAGTGAGGAACAGGCAGGCCCTGGCCAGACAGAGGCCATCCCAGCTCTGACTCCCAGAGAAGCCACATCTTCAAATGCTTCAAGCAGAAAGTTCATCGAACAGACAGCTCCCATGGTCAGATGGCCATTCCCCTCTCCAGGGACCGGCTCCCTTTCCACTCTAGACAAGCAGCGGAGCCTACAGGCACCAAGCTCCCTGCGGGAGGGATGGGAACACTCGCCCCAGAGACGATTGAGGAAGTGCGATGAGAAAGTCAAGTGTAAACTCTTATAACACTGAGGCCACCATGTCTCTGTTTGCCTTCGCTTCTGCAATCATTTTTGATAATGAGACAGCCATGCCTCTATTTTATTTCCAGCTGTACAGTAGATAAAGGAGTAAAAGTCCACCAAGAGAGCATACGAAATCAAGGTGAGAGTGGGCAAGGGCAGCCTTTACCTGGAATATGATTTGACTCGGTTCCTGGCCTTCAAAAATAGAAAACGTCATGGGCCTCAGGGGGCCGCTAAACTTCCCCTCTTGGCCATATCCAGTTACCTGTTCACAAAGAAAGATAGAATTAGTATCTACTAATATTATGAATGTGTGTCCCTTGTTGATTAGATTGGGGATTCGAGAACCAACATACGAAACAGAGGATTCCATCATGCCTGAAAACCACGTGAACTCTGGTCAGCACAAACAGAAAGGGCTCCAGTGTTTGTTGAGGCTCAATCATGTCAAAGTAGCTTGCATGAGCTTTGCATTGCGTTTCCTGTTTAACCATCGGAGCAATTCCCCTATGAGAAGCATATTAACATCCCCATGAGGATATTAGGTTAACACGACACACTCTCGGTTCTCGCTGAGCGAAAGCTCGTGGTTTCGCACAATGCTACTCTGTCTTCCTAATTCTACACAGTTTTACACCAGCTTCATAAAACACCTCCCTCCATGCCTATTATTTTATGAGGACATTCCTGGCAGATTTCCAGCACTCTGGAGTTCACAGTCACCTCAAGGACAATTGCATTTATAAGGGGGAAGAAAAGAACACACAGACCTGTTTAGTACAGTGCTTGCATGGCACGTAGTTACACGGCAAATTTTAGGAAAATTTGAATCTGAATTTGAACTGTAACTTTAAGAGCAGCTTACTATTTTAACATTTCATTAGCTCTTTCCATTCATTTAGAAATATGACAAAAAACATAGAATGTTTACTTCAAGCAGGAGCCCTACAACAGTTCTCAAATTCAAAAACCCCTAAACTGAAAGCCAAGCAGCCTCTGCAGACTCCCACAGCCAGTCTGGAACAGTCGTCAGTGCAGCTGGGATGGTAAGAATGGCTCACACTTGCTAAGTTAGTACATGTGGAGCTCTGTCCTAGACACGTTTAATCCTGAAGACAACCCTACCAGGGTGAATTACTATCATTAGTCCCATTTTACAGGTGATGAGACTAACGCATAGGGAGGTTAAATGTTATAGTTTTCCCAGGTAGTGGCTAAAAGCGGGATTCAAAGTTGTGACTCTAGAACCTTTTCTCTCAGCCATTACATGCCAGTACCCACCACAAGGCACAAAAGTGGCCCAGACAACCTGGAGGGAAAGCTGGCTGCACTGGGGTTGTGCACAACGGTGTGACCCCCATTCCAACCCCCAAAGAATGGGGTGCATCATGATAGTCCTCCCTACATTGGCCCCTCTGATGGGAGACATGAGGCAGAGCAGAGCAGGTGACTGCAGGAAGGGACAACTGCCATACACCCACCTAAGGGCACCCTATAGTACCAGGCATTGAGGGCCTCATACTCATGCTGGTCTTCCTTCCTTCCTGGGTGGTTCTTTGGGTCTCCCATTTGTAGAAATCAGGGGTGGAATAGGTTAGAATCAGAAGCACATAGCAAGCCAATGGTTTTTGGAGCTAGACAAATAACAACAAAGAACAAGAAGAACTGGGGACAGGAGAGGGAATTTGTTTTCCTCTTCTTTAGGAAGACCAGGCACATTCTTGCCATGGAAACTGCTGCTCTCTGGGAATAACCCAAAAGCAATTAGTATGCCAATGATAGGGGAGAAGGTCTCATACTGTATCCCTCAGTGTGTTGAGTCTTGACTAAGTTGGTACTGGATGTTTGGTAAATGAGCAGTAACAAACAAGAACTCAGAAGGCTTTGAAATGTGGTCTTCTCTGCCTCCAAGCTGTGGCAGGTCCTTGGGTTGGCTGCCCCAGGCCACTGCCAACCCCTCTCCTTTGCTTCCTCCTGCCAGAGAGGCTGGGAAGCCAAGTGGTCTCCTTCCCAGGCTCCCTTGCAGCTAGGAAGGTGCCCAAGGGACCCAGTTCTGGCTTGTGAAGCAAGAAGGGAAGCCTGCTGGGGTTGTGGTCAAGCTGTTGTTTTCCTGGTGAAATAGAACAGGTGTGGCTGGCAGCACCCTTCCACATGGTTCTTGCTGAGGCAAGGGACTTCGTATCTGCAGCTGGGGCAGCTGTCATGAACCATGAGAGGACAAACCAGTGCAAAAGATGGGGCAGCAAAGAGAAAGAAGCCCAAGGCTCTGATAACACCACGGACTTGCTAAACCTGCCCCGGATTGCCCACTTCAGGCCTCTTATTTGAGGAAAATAAACCCCTATTTATTGAGCTCTAAGTCAAATTTCCTATTACTTGTAGCTAAAAAGCATTCTTAACTCATAATAATTTTACACACTTGTGGCCCATTCCCTTTCTTTCTAATTGTATCTTCCTCTGGGAGCTCTTCTTCCTTTCCACCCCTTTTCCAGCTTCATTAACTCCTCTGGAAGGTGGGGCGCAAGCACTGGGTACTGACGTCCAGGGCCCCCATGGTGGGTCCGAGATGAGGGCAGCGCTCTCTGTGGAGCTACTGCTTGATGGCGAACTACCTTCGTCAGCGTGGCACTCGTATCGGCAAGCACTCAGCCCTTCAGTTAGTGACACTGGTGAAAACCACATCAGCCGGGCAAACCTCACAAACGGGGCCGCGTGGACAAGCTGGCTCACCCGTCAGGAAAGGAGACTCAGGTCTCAGTTCCAGGGTTCAACGTTGCGTCTTCGTATCAGGGCAACACATCGCTCTTCCTGTCTCTTTACGTGGCTATCGCGGCTATAAAGATTTCCGAGTGCATGTGTACCCTATGAGTCATCGAGCCACATCCCTGGAAGCGGGATGAATGGTGTGGTTGAAACTTGTGAAAGGACAAGGGGGTGGTGGGTTTATGCAGGAGTTGGAGGGAATAGCACCTGCCATCTTGCACAAAGAGGTGAAAGGAAGAGAAGAGAATGGAACTGACAATTTTTAGTCATTTTTAGCATCTCCCATGTGGCAGTGATTGGATGAGACCCTTCACATACATCATTTCTTCTGATTGATGCTATCAGAGTATCTCCAGAGAAGTCCCACAGCGGAGGCAAAGCGCTCACAGATAGTTAGTGCCACCTTGGGACTGGAACCAGTTCCGTTGGACCACCAAGCCCCAACTCTTACCGATGTCACTACATTGCTTTCTGGGCCAAATGACACATGCAGTGGCCAGGTCCACCTGCCTGGTAGCCGCCATCAAGAGTTCAATGCAGGGATTGTGTAGTGTTTGTACCAAACTCTTCTTCCTTCGGAAAGTCCCAGGCAAAACTCTAAAATAGGTGGCTCCTCCTTGGTTTTCTCCACCGCCCCACCCAGCACCCTCTCCCAAACCCTGGATCACTTACTTATGCTCCCTTCAGTGCTCTGGAAATACATCCATGCTGTGTTTCCAACCCTCTTGTGAAACAATGTCATACAGAAGAATGGAAGAGCCACTCACAGTATGGAATAAATGACTGGCAATTGTTTTAAATTAGTGCCTCTGCTGAATAAAGCTTCATGTAGAAGACAAGAAGCTCCGAGTAAACTTCCAGCCTTCACAAGACGAGAGCTTGGAGGTAGGGATTAGGTAGGGGCAGGAGAGGGAAGTCCCACCCCCTGGCTTCACCAGGGACAGCCATGCTTGCAGCCATCTCCTGGGCAAGGCACCTGCTGCCAAGGGGGTTGGGCAGTATTTCTTACTCTAGAAATCCCACTGAAGTGAGAGTAAAGAGAAAGAAACCTTATTTTCACCTTTCATTCAGGAATAAAATTAAATGTCCCCATCTCAAACAAGAAGCAAATGAACCTATTAATATCAAATTATTCTGATAGAATCCTCTCTAAGAACTTATTGTCGTTTCCTAATATGTCGATAGTCATGTATATAATTTCTACCCTGTTGCCAGCATTGTGCTAGGTGCTGAATCTGCAAAGATGACTAAAATAAAGTCCCTTCTTCATGGAGATTAGGGTTCATGTAGATGTAAACACTGTATATTTAAAATGCTGTAATAATAATGATAGCTAATATTTACTGAGTGCTTAAACAGTGCTGGTCACTGATCCAAGTGCATTATAATGCATTATCTCATTTAATTGCCACAATATCCCATAAGACAAGTACTATAATTAGACCCAGTTTACAGGGCAGAAAACTGAAATTCAAAGCTTAAGTAACTGACCCAAGTTCCTATCACTGACAAGTGGCAGCTCCAAGTTTGAAACCAGGTCTGGCTTCACCACCAGGCTGTGATAATGCCAGTAGCAAAGAGGACATTTGAGAGGTAGTTTTACAAGTTTGACTCTATTTCACTTTATAAGCATTTGGAACTGTGTAGGCTCCAGGGTTCAGGTCTCTCTGGGACTTGAAATTTGGTGTATTATTTTTGGGTCCCAGAAGAAAGGAAATAAGATTTTAGTTACAAGGTTCTAGAAGTTTCCCTATTAAAAAAAAAAAAAAGTATATGCTTCCCCATAATCTTGCTTTATAATCATCAATATTTTGTGGCAAAATGAACCTCAGGTGCTTCCTGGGTGAAACAAGGCTGGCACCCACTGTGCACCCAAGATCGAGGGCTGGGACCCTCAAGCTCTCAAAACCTGTCAGTCAACAGGGTTAACTCAACAAATGGCTAAAGACAAATGTAACTGGAAAACTCTACAGTTTTTATCAGAAGAAAAGTACGGAGCAGAACATGATCAAAAATGCTTTTCTTGATGTTTTGGTGGGAATTTTTAATGGCCAAAGTAAAAAAGTCAAGATTAAAAGGGACACAGACCAATGTATCAGTGTAATTCTTTCCAGATTCCCTTAGCTGTACATGAATAGATGGATTTGTTTTCAGCCTTGCCCATGAAGTGGCTTTGGCTTTTAAGAGCTAAGGAGACAGTACATCTCCCAGTTGAAGGTCAGACATATGATTTGTAGCCATTTCATTGAAAATATTACATTGGGGTAAACTATGCATCTATTCTATCCAACAACTTTATTCTAGTAGGCCATCCTTTTTCTTTTTTTGAGTAATGATAATCATTTTTTCCCTCATATGGGGTAGAAAGATGGCAGAAAATATTCTAGCAAATAAATAGAAAAGAACGCCCTTTTCTCTTACCAAATAAAGTGTAAGAAGACACAGAGAGCAAAGACGGGCTCGAGGCATCATGGAATTCTTTATTCAAAGTCCTGTGAATAAACCAGAAATAAAAATAATTAGTTTACAGTCTATTAAAATCACATCTTTCGGACCAGTAAGAATCATTGGACAATAATCCACCTATAAACCTAGTAAAATGGGATCCCTAAAGTTTCCCCCTGTATGGAACATCCTGGTCTTCTAGAAGCTTCATGACACCTCATCCATTGCAACATCCAAGTCGACATCTCGAAACATGCTTGCCATAATTCCATTCCTTTAACTCTTTCACTCTACTGTAATATTCTTCATTTAAGAGTCTTAAATAATCAACAATAAGTAACATTTTCACTCTTATGTGGATGGGGAATATATGTTTTAACAATGCCAGGAGAGCCAGATACAAAAATTTTCATGGTTCTGATTCAAAGCTGCAAATAGATGAGATCCTTCAAGTGGAAAGAACCCAAGTATGCTCACAAACCTTCATTCAAAGATCTCACCAGGTGCTTGTTTGGTCTTCCAAATGTTGTCATTACCTATGCAATATACCCTTAAAAAATGAAATGCATTTTTGGGTTTGTTTTATTTTGTTTTTGTTTTTAGAGACAGTATCTCCCTCTGTCACACAGCCTGGAGGGCAGTGGTATGATCCTAGCTCACTGCAGCCTCGAATTCCTGGGCTCAAGCGATGCTCTCACCTTCGCCTCCCAAAGCACTGGGGTTACAGATGTGAGCCACCGTGTCCTGGCCAAAAAAATGTCCTCCTTGTTACTCCAAAAGAGACCAAATAAGAATCCAAACTCTGCCCTCATTCTCTTCGATATTAATTTGCTTTTTCTCCTTAAAGCTTCACATTTCACAGAAATTATAAATTTCACCCTGAGACATGTCATAACTAACTGATTTTAAATTGGGAGATAAATTTTCCACATACTATTAAACTGCTAAAAAACAACCCCCCACACACACACACAAAAACACCACCAAGGAAATAAAAAACGTATTCATTTCACTAAAATTCCAATCATTTTATTATCTCCTGGGATTATGGATGATCTTGGTTTACTTTGTCTTTTTTTTTTTTTTCCTAAGTTTTTCTACCTTAAACATGCTGAGCTAATATCCGCATGGAAAAATGGTCATTAAAATTTTAAACATTCTAAAAATTTAAATGCTGAAATTTTTAAATGCCTTACATTTGGAGAGCTTATATGCTACCTTTAAAAAGGTGAAAATGCTATTCCATTTTATCCTCACCAGTGTCTTAGGGGATAAACAAAGAAATGAGCCATTTATTAAGCATCCTCTAGGAGGTAGATTTTTGGAGAGGTCTTTGTTATAAAAACAGAACAACAGCATAGCGCAGTAGGTGGGCACAGAGGAGTCGGAGAGCCAGGATGGAAACCCAGCTCTGCTCTCCACTAGCCGTGTAGCCGTGGTTGTACCACTTCATCTCCCAGTACCTCAGTTTCCTCCCAGGGAAAATACATAGCAACTCCTCAATAATACGTGTGTGCTCTCATGATTTTCTCACAGTCATAATGAGTTTGGAATGTTCTTCTCATTCGATAGATGAGGAAATTGAGGTTCAAAGTCGATCATTTTGCTTTACTAAAAACACACAGCTAGGAAGTGGCATTGCCTTGCCTCCAAGCAGATCTGTCTATTCCAAAGTTTAAAACATTTCTTGACTCTTTCTGCCCAACCCTATATAGCGTGATAGCTACATAAATGCAGACGTAGCCATAGACAGCTAGAGATGTAGATATACAAATGCTATCTAAATTAAGCAAGTCGCCCCGAGTTTCACAACTATTTTAAAGAAAAGCTAGGAATAAAACTCTTTAGGACTCTTGGATTCATAAAGTTTTTGAATGTTTAAACATCAGTTTTTGCAACAGAATTAGTTCGGCTGACACATCTAAACATTGTTTTAGAATGAACTCATTATATTAATAGTTAAACACAATTGAGACAGTTTTCTACTGCTTTAGACTGCTTGTTTGGTTTGGAAACATAGAAATAAGTAACAACCTCAGGTTCTGGCATATTGCAAGATGAAATATATATTAATGACAGAACTGGTATTCTTAAGTCTAACTGGTTTTTTTTAATATAAGCGAAATGCACATGATCAGTCATCAAGCCAATATTTGCTTAATAGAGGTAAAAATACAGTCAGTAATGACACATTCGGGGATCTGTCTCCTCAAACTCCCCAGCGTTCAAGATTTTCAAATGCTGCTCCCAACTCTTCCACCCTTATCTCCCACACCCCTCCCACGCCCAGTCATGACAGCCACCCAGATGGACTCTGCCCCCTGAACTCTTCTGTATCCAAGCTCTGGCACTGGCTGCTGTCCCTGCCTGGCACAAGGCCTGGCCCAGAGAAAATGCACAATGGATATTTGCTTAAGGAAGTTGGACTAAATTACCCCTCTTCATCTCTTCTTCTACTTCGCATATTTTACCATCTAGATCCAACTCGTTCATTCATTTAAAAAGCATTGAGCTAAACTTCTGTTATTTGCCAGACACCGCAGTAAGAACTGGGACATGAAAACAAGGTGCCTGCATGAAGTAAACCTAAACCCTACTTCCCTCATGGCATTTTCCTTGATTTCCAGAAGATTCTTCCTCTCAAAACCTCTCCTAACCACCTTTTATCTTTTATTATGTATTTACCTGTTCACATAACTGCCTCTATCAGAGGCCTTATTTTAAAATAATTTTTTTTAGCTTCTAGGGACTCTTCATACTATGCCTTGCATATATTAAGCCCTCAACAGATGTTGGTTAAATTGTAAAACACTTGTGATTGTCTAAAATGAATATCCTATTAATTTGTGCCCATCTATAAGAGCTTTCAGAATAAACATAACACATTAAAAGAAACTAATTTCAAATTTAAAGCTTTACTTTGATGCAAAGTAATACATTTTTATTGTTGATGAAATGGGTTGTTTCTGTTTTAAATACATTAACAGATTTCTGCTCAGTGAATAGCTCAGAACTGGTTAAAATATTCTCTCTCTTTGAACTGACTTTTTTTTTTTTTTAGCATTTTTAATCTTCCAAAGAAATATAAGTTGAATGATTTAAAAAAAAAAAAAGCAAATAAAAATAAAATGAATGCCTTATTTTAGTCAGATGCTCAGACAGGCCACTGTCTGGGATGTTTTAATGAGATCTAAAAGGTAAAAGTAGAAACGTACTTACCCTTTGACATTCACATTTAGTATTAATCTTCGCAGAAGGGTTTCCAGTGGGAAACAGAAGTAACTGCCTTCCACTCCCACGCATAGGGTGCCCTGATGTATTTGAGGACAAACCTACCATACCATGCAGTTGTTAGGAGCACAGACCAGGAAGTTAGACTGGCTGGTCCGGGTCCTGGCTCCACCGCTTACTTGTGGTTCTGTTTACTCATGTGTAAAGCAGAAACAACAATGGGATCTACCTCTGAGAGCTGTAAGATTCAGTGAGTTAACATTTGGAACAGTGTTGGTCAAATAAAAATTCATTCTGCCATCCAAGTGTGCTTAGTCAGAACTTTCTCCATTGTCCAACAAGACTTTTCCTTTCACAATTCCCATCTTCGGGTGGACTGCTAACAACAATATTCGAGAAACAGCCTCCACGGCAATGTCCTCAGGACCAAATGAGTCATCGAGGCAAAGCCTTTACCTGAATGATTCAAGGCAAACTACGCTAATGCCGGGATTATGTCGGAAGAGGACTTTGGTCTCTCAAACAAGCCGTGCTTATACTTCCTTACATGGACATAATGCTATTAATGAATATGATAACCTGGACTATGCTGCTGCTGACAGGAAACCACTCTTTCTCAGTGGAACTGCCTAAAACCACCAAGCCATGCACATGGTGGGTTTCCTCACAAACACTATCTGGAAAAGGACTGGAGTGGATTTCCAGATAACTCGGGGATATTTTACCTGAACTACTGGCAATAGTTGGTCCAACCATCCGCTTGGAATTTTTGCTATTTGTTAAGGTTTCCCTTAGGGACGAGGACTATATTCAGACAGTTTCTATGGCAACTATCTGAGAGGCCAAGCACACCCGTAGCGACACAAGCCAAAGGTTTTTCATTTAAAAACGAAAGGAGGAGTTTGGAAAAGAAGACCTCAGTCCACAAAATTTGGATGCACCACGGCTAGCAGACAGCACCACCAGCACTTGCTTTAACCACGGGCAGGGCCTCGTCTTGCACGGAGGGGTTGGGGCTGCCCCTGGCCTTCATCTCTGGGGGTGGCGTCTTCATCCCATTCACCACAGCCCAGAGGATTTGGAAATTCCTCCACATCCTGAATCTGTGCCAGCCAGGATAACAACAGGAAGGCAGCTGGCATTGACTGAAAACAATGTGCCACACACAATGCTAAGACTTTTATATGAATTATCTTTTTTTTTCCTTGAGACAGAGTCTTGCCCTATCGCCTGGGCTAGAGTGCTGTGGCATCAGCCTAGCTCACAGCAACCTCAAACTCCTGGGCTCAAGCAATCCTCCTGCCTCAGCCTCCTAAGTAGCTGGGACTACAGGCATGCACCACCATGCCCGGCTAATTTATATATATATATATATATTTTTTTTTTTTTTTTAGTAGAGACAGGCTCTCACTCTTGCTCAGGGCTCAGGCTGGTCTCAACTCTTGAGCTCAAGAGATCCTCCCACCTCGCCCTCCCAGAGTGGTAGGATTACAGGCAGGAGCCACCGTGCCAGCCAATACGAATTATCTTACAGATTTCTCAGAAGAACCCTAGAAAGCAAATACTATTATAGTACACCTCTTACAAATTGAAAATCAAAAAGGCAAAGGTTGTAGAAGTTGAGACTTGCCCAAGGTCACTCCCTCTAAAAGCACAAACATCCTGATATTGACACACCAAGTATCACTTAATCTAATACATATCTTTCCAATAATTTGAAAAATATCCCCGCACACACACTTCCCAGCTGCTCTTCCTTACTGACATGGCCTCCATCCTTCCCACCCATAGGAAAAGGCTGCATCAGCCTGGGAGG